CAAATTATTACATTAGATCTAAAATTTGTATGTCTAATGCAAAATCCATGATGTGTAAATTCAAAATGATTATCATATTGTAAGAATTCCAGAATTGTAAATTATATTCTGGCCGGGTAATTTGTATGAATTTTATGAGCTAAATAAAAAAAATTATACTTCACCGCGTATATGAGTAGATGCACCGCGGAAAGTGAGTCCGGTTCTGGCAAGGTACCGCGTAAATGAGAAATCGCGGAAAGTGAAACCGTGTAAAGTGGGGAAATACTGTATATTTAAAATGGTATTACACTGTGTTGTACAGTAAAGCACAATTAATTATCTAATAATATTTATTTACAGAGCTGATCAGCCGAGAAGGTTGGACAACTACAGATGGCGGCTTCCCGCTCTGCGGCTCACCCCAGCCAGTGACGTCACAACCAATCACAGAGCTTTTCGCAGTCTTGTGACTTTTTAGCAACTTTAACCCTTATTTTTGACACTTTTTGGCCCAATTTATTGAAAAATATCGGTGAATTTTTCTTTATGCACTGGTCTTTCTCTCGCTGTTATTAATATGTATTTCGTAATGTTTAGACAATTCTAAGACCCTTTTCTTCTATAATATTTCAGTCGGAAATTAAGGATAACCGAGATAATTTTTTCAATACTGTACAGTACTGTATTATTAAATTCGCTCGGTCATAAGTGTTGCCATATCTTATTTGCCTTGAGATGTTATCAGCGCATCATGCATGCGCAATATTGACTGACGTCATCCAGTCGTGACCAATGATGTATAGATATCAAGCAAATTTTTTCGACCAATCACATTTGATTTTTTTTCAAAGGAAGTGCCTGGGTAATTTCATTGACCAGTCTCACAATGGCCGTGGTGGAGGTTGGTTGTCATTTGTGCTCCTACGATTATTTTAAGTTTATTGCCGAGTTTTACAAGAAAGACGATCATTCTATCCAATTCGTACGTATCCCTGGTCCTTCCACTTCTAACTAAGGTATTGTACTTTCCGACGTGGTGTGCCCCAAAGTATTTAACTACCGAGACATTTAGGTTAGTTGAAGCTAGGCCTACCAGGGTTGAAACCCCCGGCTAGGGGTTAGGTTAAATTATTCGAAACTCACCAAATATCGTCGGAAAAATACATTTTTAGGTGAATTTACAGTTTTACACCGATCTTTCATTCATTGTTATTAATATGTATTTTGTAATGTTTAGGCATTTCTAAGACATTTTTTCTATGATATTTCCACCGGAAATTAAGGATAAGCGAGATATTAATTTTTCAATATTATTAGATTCGGTCAGTCACAAGTGTCGCCATGATTTGTTTACATCTCACAGAGAGGGTCTGACCCCTCCTCACGTGGTGCTCCTTACCTCCGTCTTCGCTTTTTAAGCGTCTACAGCGCATGTGCGGGGGTGGTGTAGGTAAAAGTTTTTTGTCTTAGCCAATGAACAATGCGTGGGTGAGTCAGGAGCGGAGATTTTAATTTTTGGTACCAGATATGTCTGAACAACAGGTGGAAGAGATGTGCCGACATTGTGATGGAGATTATTTTACGTCAATTGCCGAGTTTCATTAGAAAAATAGTGAGGCAATTTCTTTCTTCTTTTAGAAAACACAGCGTGTTTGTCCAAAGTGTAATAATCAGTGTACACTGCGTGAAGAACAACACATTTGGCGGTGTCACCAGTTTTCTTCAGCCGAACTGTAAGAAACGGAAGAGGTACAACCCTGGTTAGGTTAGGTTTTGTTGGTTGGTTGGTATTTTATTTGCGATTTATTCAAGAAGAAAAAAATCCAACTTTTTTGGTTATGATTATTGGGTGTGTGTGTGGGGGAGTTAATTAAAAAAACTAGTAATTTCTGAAGGAAATGAATATCAAAGACTGGTGCACAGGTACAAATTTCCCAAAATATCATTACCCCAGTAATTTAAGCGTTTTCTTTACCCACTGACCTGCCATCTTACAATAAAAATTCCGACCATCAACTCGTCCATTGTGTGGAAATGAGGCAGAAAGTCAGATCAGCAACCTGGGACTTGGTCACAATTGGGACATACAATGTGTATTTATTTTGGCATAATTAATATGATGTTTGGTTACCAAATGTAGTAGAACCATTATGTCACAGAGCCACGCATACCAACCCTCCTGGTGTACTACGCACATCATTGTCATCCCTAAAAACTCTTTAATTCATATTACGCTACATAACATTCAAATCCACCACGCTTGTATTATCTCAGAAAACGGAAAAAGTTGATAAAGGATAACTCACCTACTGAATGTTACTGAATTATTTGATGAATTGTACCCAGGTACGGGTATATAATATTAAGTGTATGTGCTCATAGCATTTAAGAAAACTCAAGGTATCTATAAGATGGTTGGGAGAATCCAACCAGTACGGATTAGTGTACGATAAGGGCTAAATGTTGGTCGTGTTTGAAGGTCATTCTATTGACATCTGTGAACGATTAGTGAACATAGACACCACAGGTGGCCGATGAAACTATAAAAGAACATTGATTTGGAAAAAGGATAAATGTATCAGACCTATGTGAAGTGTTGGAAATGATCCAGAAACTATACTTCAAAGGAAATATCTTGTATGCATCGGTGTGAACTTAATACACCTCGTTATCTCATGTGACGTATACCCACGCTAGAGCACCTCGGGCGTACTGCATTGATATTATAGCCCAATGAATTTCCCCAGGAACTAACAAACCAGAACCTTACCTTAGTGTGTAATTTAGGATTAAGATATGTATTTATAAGGCATAAGGTCACAATAGATAGGAAAATGGAGATGTGAGAATCATAAAAATTCAAAGTGAAAATTAGAAATTGGAAACTGTAGGCCTAGTCAGGGAGAAGCGCGGGATAGCGCCTTCAGTAACGCCCGCCCTTCTCCCAAAACAGGTCAGTGTCCTTCATCGGGCTTTATTTCAGCCCTAAAAAGACTTATTAAACAGTTTTTACATTTTAAAACCTTGCCTGATGTTATAAAGTGAAGTCATAGTGTACTAGTGGGGGGTGAGGAAAGCCCCTCAGGCATTATTTTCAGTAACGCCCGCCCTTCTCCCAACACAGGTCCCACGCGGTCTGAGCACATTTCTGCGCGTCGGCCATTATTCCCCTGTGAGAGCCCCCATGTGAGGTGATTGTATGCCATTATGCCCCTCCACTGTGAACCTGTGGATTCCCTGCATATCACCACCTACTAGTATGTTTGAGAAGATTCGCAGTCGCCACTTGGAGCGACCTAGAATACCAGGCGTAGAAACAGTACTGGTATAATCACGTATGGAGTACCCCTCCCAAATTCACCAAGAGCGGTGTGCAAACGAGGTACCTGGTATGTGTACCTAGAAGTATCAAGGAATTCCATACTTGTAGGTGTGGAGGGTAACCGTGGTGCTGTAATGTGGTGATGTGGTGCTATATTGTAACCTAGGGTGCTATATTCTAACAGGTGGAGCAGTCTGTTGTGTTTGGTGTTATGGTAAGAAGGATTGACCGAGGTATGAAGAATGAGTTATGTTATGAAGAATGAGTATGTTAATGATACGTCATTACTGAAGACGTGTGTTGTTGGGCAGTGTAACTAAAATCATTATTGTTCTTCTGAGGAAGGCCAACTCTACTTGTATTCTGACGGGATGCAATATATTTTATAAGGAATAAATTAGTTAAGACATGTTGTTATTTCACCCTTCTTCCTACTATCGATTTGGTCAATGAAAAACCCAACCCAATGCCAAGCTTACTCAGCCTGCTACCTAAAGAGCTACATACTATCCAGAGGGGGTCTGGTGGCAGCGACCTTAAAATTAAGAATAGAGTTAAGTTATCCCTATAGAATTAGTGACCCCAGAATCTGGCAGTATACCGGGTTGAGGTGAAGTTAAGTTAAATGTTTCATTTAGAAATAACCATTTTTTAACACATTTGCCTAAACTATGAGTGTCCACTATAAAACAGTGAAATTGCAGCATTTTTTAAATTAATTTTCCATGAAAAATCGGCAGCGGGTCAGTCGTCAATAATTACCGTATTTTTTCTTTCTAGCCTATCCTTCAATAGGCTTGTTAGTGTGCATGACATGAAAGAAAAGATAAATAAGGCAATAAAAACACTGCGAAGTGATCATATGGCAGAAATTTTGTGTCTCTACATCCTTTGTAGGCAAAGAAATAAAATATTTACCATAATTATGGTGCCATGGGATCTCCCATGATGACCATGTTTTGGTTCACATTGTCTGCTTTATGGGAGCACCTGCTGTCGTTGTTTACATGTCAAGAAAATTATGACAATTCCATCGGGCTTGTTTATTACGATTTGTATTGGATTGAATTCAATAATTTTTTCTAGAGAGGTTCTTTGGATGATAGTATGAAAATCGAAAAGGCAATGCACAGGTTAGGAAGTTAGTTTGGTTGGGTAAAGTTAGGTTAGGTATGGTTAGGTTAGGTCAGGTTCTAATAGGTTCTGTGCATTCTCGCTTCCATTTTAGTGTTCAGTATCATATAAATAGTATCTCCAAAAATTTGGGTTAAATTCTGTATGTTATTTCTGGTGCTAACTGTCTCTTTCACCTCTGCCAAATTTAGTTTTTTCGAGCCTAAATCGTTTACCTTGTACTGTTGTTTGCAGAATAATTACCACATTGCCAATCACTAGTTGCTGCCACCATACCCATGGCATCAATATTATTTAATCACTGCAGGCTCTCGTAAGCAAAATCCTTAGTTAGTACCATTACTCTCTTTCTTCAGAATTACCCTTAATGTTCACCCTATTTTTTCTTGCTAATCCACCAGTTCTAAACAGTATGACGTTCATACTGAAAGTGTAGACTATAAAACATTTCATTTGGTGACCCCCTCCGTTTACCGTACTTCCACAATAAAATGACGCCCGAATAATCGTTATCACTAAAGAAATCGTGAACATTGTGCAATGCAAAGTTTAATTTACTTACCTCAAACAACAGTTACACCAAGGATCATTCAGACTTCTGTTCACACAACAATACTGTGTGTCGACTGTCGGCTGCCCGAGTCACTGATAGTGCCCGCCGGCGCTTCCTTCTCTCTGGACTTTGACTCTCCTATCAGCTGTTTAGTTGTTCTTTTTTACATGCCTCATTGGCCAGTCTATCAGCACGGTCATGATACCTGGGACGGAATCCACGAGAGTTGTTCTCATTGACAGTTATCACATTTCTTTTAATATCACATACAACTTTAGACATTTTTTACCTTTTATCTTCTTCACCACTGATCTGCTCGCCAGCCGCCCGGGCGATCGGCCACGTCTCTGTCACGCACTGTTGGCAAATACTGGGCATGCACCGGCTCCTGAATGTACCTGAACCCACTCCAGTGATGGTCAAGTCTTGTCTTGAAAGAGCTCACACTCGGTGCCGTCACAACACTCTCTGGTAGATTGTTCCAAGAGTTTACAACCCTCACTCCGAAAAAGTTTGCCCTCACAGTTTTCTGGACTTGCGGCTTCTTCAATCTTGAGCTGTGACCCCTTGTGGAGCGAGCGTCCGCCAGCTCCAAGTAAGGACACTCAACTGAGTAATGCCCTCTGAGATGCTTATACACCTCAACTACTGTAGGTCCCCCCTTGCCCGTCTGTAGTATAAACTAGGCAAGTTCAGGCTCTCCAATCTCTCAGGGTAGCTAAGGTGACGAAGTGCAGGCACCAGTTTGGTGGCCCTCCTTTGAACATTTTCAACCAACTGACAGTCCCTAGCATATCTCGGGGACCTGATGGGGTGACAGTACTCCAGATGGGGAAGCACTTCACTCCTGAAGATCGTTACGAGGGACGGACCGTCTAGATGTCTGAACGACCTTCTTATAAGACCCAATAATTTATTTGCCGATATTTACCTTCTTCTCGCAATGGCCCGAGAACTTCAGCTCATTGTCAACATACACACCTAGGTCCTTCTCACATACAGTCTCAACTAGTGCAGTTTCTTCATCCCATCGGGACATATGATACGCCTCCTTACCGTTGGTACGCCCCATGTGCATCCTCTTACACTTCGTGACATTGAATCTCAGCAGCCATTTCTTCGACCATTCTTGGAGCCCACAGAGGTCCTTCTGCAGCTCTTCACAGTCCGCTTGGTTCTTAATTTCCCGAAATAACTTGCCATCATCGGCAAACATTTGTATGGAGGAGTGTACAACGTCAGGCATGTCATTTATGAAACAAACAAACAACAGCGGGCCCAATACACTGCCCTGTGGTACCCCACTTGTTACAGGTACAGATGACGATTTCGTGCCATTAATCACCACACACTGCTTGCGGTCATGTAGAAAGTCTTCTATCCACGTTAGGACATTTCCCCGAATTCCGTACCCTTCCAGTTTGATTTTCAGCCTTTCGTGGGGTACACTGTCGAAAGCCTTGGCAAAATCTAGGTAAATATTGTCGATATTACCACCCCGTTCTAGAATATGGGTCCAAATATCCAATACCTTGAGCAATTGTGTTAAGCAAGAGCGCCCCGGCATAAAACCGTGTTGGCAATCTTTTACAAGGTTGTTTCGTAGTAGATGTTCCATCGCGGCATCTCTGATAATACTCTCAAGTACTTTACATATTATGCTGGTCAGGCTCACCGGTCTATAGTTGTTCGTGGAGTGACTATCGCCCTTCTTGAAGATAGGACTCACATAAGCCACTTTCCATTCACTGGGGACCATTTGTTCATCCAGGCATTTACAAAACAGGAGCTTCAGGGGCTCTGCAAGCTCGTTGCACAGCTCTCTTAGCACTCTAGGATGCACCATGTCAGGTCCGGGACTCTTATGGACCTTTAGCCTGGACAGTTTATTTCTAATACCCTCTTCTGTGAACACAATGTGGGTCAGTGCTGTGTCGAACCGTCTGTCCTCAAACGCAGGAAGGTTAGTTGCATCCTCTCTTGTGAACACTGAGGAAAAGAAGCTGTTCAATGCCTCAGCTTTATCCTGGTCAGAATCTGCGTAACTACCATCTTCAAGCCTCAGGTCTGATACTCCTACTCGCGTTTTCAATTTCGACTTTGCATAGCGGTAAAACGCCTTTGGGTTTGACTTGACCTCGCGTGCAACCAGCCTCTGGAACTCCTTTTCAGCCCTCCTACACTCTATCTTTGCTTGGTTTCTGGCTCTTGCATACATCCTCCTGTCTTGCTCATCGTTTGACCCAACCCACGTCTTGAATTTCTGGGTTTTCTTCTTAATTTTGTCGACCGCCGCATGGTTCATGTGTAGTGATCCCCTCGTATTCTTAGAAGCACTGGGTTTGGTCTTGGGTATATATTTATCGATCAAATGGGTCATTTTACTAGTTTTGATATTCAGCGTAGTGTCTGCGTTCTTGTACCTTAATAAGTCAGGCCAGTTGATACCCCTCATCTCTTCCCTCATCCCATTGTAATTTCCCTTGAATCTCAGCAGCCATTCCTTCGACCATTCCTGGAGCCCACAGAGGTCCTTCTGCAGCTCTTCACAGTCAGCATGGTTCTTAATTTCCGGAAATAACTTAGCGTCATCGGCAAACATTTGTATGGAGGAGTGGACAACGTCAGGCATGTCATTTATGAAACAAACAAACAACAGCGGGCCCGATACACTGCCCTGTGGTACTCCACTTGTTACAGGTACAGATGACGATTTCGTGCCATTAATCACCACACATTGCTTGCGGTCATGTAGAAAGTCTTCTATCCATGATAGGATATTTCCCCGAATTACGTACCCTTCCAGTTTGATTTTCAGCCTTTCATGGGGTACGCTGTCGAAAGCCTTGGCAAAATCTAGGTAAATATTGTCGATATTACCACCCCGTTCCAGAATATGGGTTGATATCCAGCCTTTGCCTGTTTGACACTATCATCTCTTTTATATATATATATATATATATATTACAATTGCACAGCCTGTTCTACCTGTGTCAGAATCATGAACTTTGATCTAGAAGAACTGAGAAATGCAGAGACCTGGCAGTTATTAGCATTAGTAAATATGACAAATTTTATGACGAGAGGTACCGGTATGGTCAGCATAAGGACAGAACCAGACAATGTGATAAAATCGTGAACGCAACCCTTGTGGAATGTCTGTGCCATTTAGTTCTTGCAATTGCAACAAATCAAAATGGTCAGTATATGGTTTATAATTTTTGGCTATATAATATGCAGTTCTAAATATTTTGTAGGTAGCCTCTACTTCAGATTTATTTAAACGATCCACGATAGTTTCAATTTGTTGTTCCCTTGCAATCTGAAGAATTTTATCAGCACTGATGTGTGACTGCGACTTTGAATTAAGCAAACATTATTTTCTCAAGGATGATAGTTGGACTGATCTTGTGCTGCCGTTGAAAGAAACTGAAACTGAACTCCATTCTTTGGAAACACTAGCACCTTGTGATTTAAATGAGCCTAGATTTGTCACACTAGAGCATGCTGCACATCCGAATTTTCCGGAATCACTCACAAGCCACGGGTAGGCCCTTTTCTTATCTTACCACATCTCAGTTTGGGGGTAAAGTGAGAAGCATGGAAAAGGGAGAACTCATTAATGTTTACATTACTTGGAAACTTAACGAGGAGGCTGCTGTGCCTGCCTCATTCCAGTGCCATTGTGGAGCGAGTATTTTTTCAAATTAATCAAATGAAAACAAAAGTGAGAAATCAGTTGAGTACATCTACCCTGAATGGGATGCTTCATGCAAAAATAATTTTTGAAACTGCTTCATGCTACGACTTTCAAGTTCATCCTAGTCTTCTGAAGAGGATGACATGAAATATACAAGACCAAAGACCTCAAACATTAAAATGTGAGTATCTTCTCTTTAATTATCGCTGATTTTAATAGTTTAGACATTCATACACCAGAATTTATCCACAATTCTTGACAAAAAGTGTTAACAATATTTTAATGGGAAATGTATAGACACCTAGGGAAATTTCATGCCAAAAAAGGAAATTTTAAGGGCACTGCTAGGGAAAACTTTGGCCGAGTAGACCTGGCAACACTGGATCCGTCGCTTCTCTGTTACGCATTGATGGCAAGTACTGTATTGGGCACGCACTGGCTCCTGAATGTATCTTGAACCTGCTGTGGCTGCAAGTCTGGTCTCGAAAGAGCTCACGCTCAGTGCCGTCGCAACACTCTCTGGCAGATTGTTCCAAAAGTTCTCAATTCTCACTCTGAAAAAGTTTGCCCTCAGTTTTCTGGACGTTGGCTTCTTCAATCTTGATCTGTGACCCCTTGTATGTAAACAATATGAAACTCTCTCAAATTCAGTACATTTCGCTCAATTCTTACTTGTACATAGTAATTTTAAATATTCTACAGTACTGAACGTCCAATGGATAGACAAATAAATTGAAGTCTAATGAAATAATGGTGAAAGCTGACGCCTTCAGAGTGGCTGACCAATCAGCGAATGTTTACACTTGTCAGAGTCAGACTCCCAGTAATCTTTGGTAGATACTCAGGGGTGTGTGTCTCTCTCTCATTATCTCTTTGTGGCAATAACTAGGGTAGAGAGTTAAGAGGAAAACGAAAGGTAATAGAAATTTTAATAGTAATCGTGATATATCTTTATTGATTTTCCATGTTATTACTTTTACCTTTTATCTTCTTCACCACTGATCTGCTCGCTAGCCACTTGGGCGATCGGTCACGTCTCTGTCACGCACTGTTGGCAAGTACTGGGCATGCACCGGCTCCTGAATGTACCTGAACCCACTCCAGTGTTGGTCAAGTTATAAATAGACCCCATTTCCAATAGGCCCCTGTTCTAATAGGCTCCAGTCTTAATAGGCCTCAGTTTTAATAGGCTCCAATCCTAATGGGTCCGTTCTAATAGGTCCCAGTCCTAAGGTTAGGTTAGATTAGGTTACGTGAAATAAACTGGAAGGGTTAAACCTCTGGTGATCCAACTCGACAAAACAAAATTCACCTCACTCACTCACCACACCCTGGCAGACGATGGCAGCCACACCACCAGCAAAAGCAAACGAAGGAACAGTAACAGACGAAGTAACAGTAGCAGAAGGAGCGAATGACAGAAGCAACACCCCCAACATCATCAGACCCTTAGATGAACGAGACCAACAGGATTTAATGACCAAATTTCGTGGGTTCCAAACAGGACTGATACGAGTAGGTGAAATTGGCCACCTTATCCCTTTTCACCAAACTGCCTACCTTAAGGAGTACTTTAACTTTAGGTGAGTGTGTTGTCTTTAAGTTTAAATGAAGATTGTTGTCTTTAAGTTTAGGTGAAGTTTGTTATATTTAGGTTTAGGTGAAGTATGTTGTCTTTAAGTTTAGGCGAAGTATGTTGTCTTTAAGTTTAGGTGAAGTTTGTCTTTAAGTTTAGGTGAAGTTTATACGTTTTAAGTGAAGTATGTTGTCTTTAAGTTTAGGTGAAGTATGTTGTCTTTAAGTTTAGGTGAAGTATGTTGTCTTTAAGTTTAGGTGAAGTTTAGGTGAAGTTTATACGTTTTAAGTGAAGTATGTTGTCTTTAAGTTTAGGTGAAGTATGTTGTCTTTAAGTTTAGGTGAAGTTTGTCTTTAAGTTTAGGTGAAGTTTATACGTTTTAAGTGAAGTATGTTGTCTTTAAGTTTAGGCGAAGTATTTTGTCTTTAAGTTTAGGTGAAGTATGTTGTCTTTAAGTGTGGGTGAAGTGTGTTATATTTAAGTTTAGGTGAAGTATGTTGTCTTTAACTGTGGGTGAAGTGTGTTGACTTTAAGTTTGGGTAAAGTGTGTTGTCTAAGTTTTAGGTTAAGTGTGTTGTCTAAGTTTTAAGTTAAGTGTGTTGTCTTTAAGTGTAGGTGAAGTGTGTTGTCTTTAGGTGTAGGTGTGTTGTTTTCGAGTTTAGGTTGTGTCTTTTCTTTAAGTTAAGGTAAAGTGTGTTGTCTTTAAGTTTATGTGAAGTGTGTTGTCTTTAAGTTTAGGTGAATGTGTTGTCTTTTAGTTTTAAGTGAGTGTGTCGTCTTTAGTTTTAGGTGAAGTATGTTGTCTTTAAGTTTAGGTGAAGTAGTTTCGTGTTGGGTTTTAGGTAAGGTTTTTTCTATTAAAGTGATGAATTTAAGTTTAAGTAAGATAAATTAAATTTAGGTCCTGTCTTTAAGGCTTTCTCTCTCTCCTCTATATCTCTTTATTTCTCAGTTAGTTTGTCTCTCTCAATCTTCCCTTCTCTCTAACACACACACACACACACACACACTGTGGGGTATGGGATGTTTGGTTCACACTCAGGATGGGATGGAGAAAGGAAACTCACAATGTGCTCTCATGTGTACATGTTGTATTGGATGTACAATGCAGCTGGGTGCTGGGAAGGCAGCGTGGTTACAAGCGTGATGTAGAGAGAGCTGGTTGGTGAGGATGCCCAGAGGAGGACAGCTTGTGGGTCGCCATGCTCGCCGGCGGGAGCGAGGACCGCCAGGCAGGCGGAGGAGGAGGTGTTGCTGGCTGGTTGGTGGAGGTAGTAAGAGAGAGCTGGTTGGTGAGGATGCCCAGAGGAGGACAGCTTGTGGGTCGCCATGCTTGCCGGCGGGAGCGAGAACCGCCAGGCAGGCGGAGGAGTTGCTGACTGGTTGGTGTAGGTAGAAAAAGAGAGGTCACCACGAGGTCAGGTCTTAAATAGCGGGGGTTGGCGTGGCTTAGTAGTTGACCCTCGCTCCGTGGGCGGCGCTGGTTGACCCAGACCACGAGGCATACACAGGGGAATTCATGGGGTCGGCTACTCAGCGACAAACGGCGTTTGTAGGGGAGAAATCCACTACAACACAACCTCCTCTTTCCCTCTCCCTCTAACACCCTCTGTCTCTCTCCCCTGGTCATATCAGGTTCCGGGAGGAGGACGTACTGGTGATGACCTTCCCCCGGAGCGGCACGACCTGGACACAAGAGATTGTTTGGCTGATGAAACACCGTGTTGATGTTGATGCTGCCCAGGCCACCCGTCTTGATGACCGGGTCCCCTTTCTTGAGTGAGTGAGTGAGTGAGTGTGTGGGGTATGGGTTGTCGGGGCTCACACTCAGGATGGGATGGAGAAAGGAAACTCGCAATGTGCTCTCTGTATACATGTTATATTGGATGTACAATGCAGCTTGGTGCTGGGAAGTGGCAGCGTGGTTACAAGCGTGATGTAGAGAGAGCTGGTTGGTGAGGATGCTCAGAGGACAGCTTGTGGGTCGCCATGCTCGCCGGCGGGAGCGAGGGCCGCCAGGCAGTGCGGAGGAGGTAGTGTAGCTTGCTGCGGCTGTAGCTAGAAGAAGAGGGAGGGCACCACGAGGTCAGGTCTTAAATAGCGGGGGTAGGCGTGGCTTAGTAGTTGACCTCCGTGATGTATGGCGGCGCTGGTTGACCCAGACCACGAGGCATACACTGGGGAATTCGCGGGGTCGGCTACTCAGCGACAAACAGCGTTTGTAGGGGAGAAATCCATTACAAGTGTGTGTGTGTGTGTCAGTCATCTTAATCGCAAAAAATATATAATGCAGAGAATAAAACTCATATTATCCCTTTAATGAAGCAAAATAAAACACCTTTCTACACAGGTTCGATGCCCTCCAGCCTCCTGATGTAGTGGAAGGAGGGAAGGACGGAGGGGTGTTTTTAGAAATGGCTAAGAATCTAGACAATCCCAGGACAATCAAGACTCATCTCCCCTTCTCCCTCCTCCATCCTGGGATCCTTAATACTTGTAAGGTGAGTGTTGGAGGGAAGGAGGGTGGGTTAAAAGGATATGGGAGAGAGGGAGGGAAGGAGGGTGGATTAGAGGGATGAGGGAGAGGGGGAGGGAAGGAGGGTGGGTAAGGGGGATGAGGGAGGGTAAGAGAGGGTGAAATAGAGAAAGTTTTAACATCTCTCTCTTGCTCTATCACACCCCCCCTCCCCACACACACACACACTCCCTCTCACACACTTCCTCCCCTTATATTATGTCTCACACACACACACACACACTCCCTCCCACACTCTCTCCCTCTCACGCACACTCTTACATTCTCATTTCCACTCTCCCTACAGGTCGTATACGTAGCAAGGAACCCCAAGGATGTTTGTGTCTCATACTACCATCAACAACGTCTCGTCACTCTGGCGGAGTTTCTTGGCACCTTCCCAGAGTATGTTGACTTCTGGTGTCGAGATCTGTGTAAGTATTGCTGTGTTTTTCTGTCAGTCTGTCTATCTGTCTCTAGTTATGAGGGACAGAGAGGATTGTGGGTAACTTTCTTAAATGGATTAGGGCGTGGTTACAGGACAGGAAACAGCGAGTGAGCATTAACGGCACTAAATCCCATTGGAGCAACGTCAATAGCGGAGTTCCCCAAGGCTCAGTACTTGAACCATTGTTATTTATTATATACATAAACGACATAGATATTGGCATAGACAGCAACATAAGTAAATTTGCTGATGACACTAAAATAGGATGTGTTATTAAATCTGACGAGGACTCCACAAAACTACAGGAAGATCTAAACAAATTTTTCGAATGGTCTGAAAAATGGCAGATGAAATTCAACGTGAACAAATGTAAAGTACTCAGTATAGGAGATGTAAACAAGGAAACCTGTTACCAGATGAACAACGATGCCATTGAGATATCCGACTGCGAGAGAGATTTAGGAGTAATGATAAGTAGGAACCTTAAGCCAAGTAAACAATGTGTATTTGCTCGAAACAAAGCTAATAAAGTACTTGGGTTCATACAAAGGAGTGTTAGTTACAAGACTAGTGAGGTCATCCTAAAACTATATCTTGCTTTTGTGAGACCTCACTTGGATTACGCAGTTCAATTCTGGTCACCGTATTACAGAATGGATATAGAATCCTTGGAAAGAATTCAGAGGAGAATGACAAGGCTAATCCCAGGCATTAGGAACCTTGAGTACAGAGACAGGTTAAAGCATCTTAATTTGCACTCCCTTGAGAGACGAAGAGTGAGAGGCGATATGATATAGGTGTATAAATGGAAGTCAGGGCTGAACAAAGGGTGACATTACAAAGGTACTCAAATTATCCAACCAGGAGCAGACTAGTGGATGAATGGAACAAGTTACCAAATATCATCATTAACTCGAATAAACTGGATAGCTTCAAACATAAGTTGGATGCTTATATGAGCAATAGGGGTTGGGTGTAAATGGGACTGCCCAGTATGGGCCAATAGGCCCGCTGCAGTTTCCTCCATTCTTATGTTCTTATGTTGAGTATGTTGACTTCTGGTGTCGAGATGTGTGTCAGTATTGCTGTTTCTGTGTCTGTAGATAAATAGAGAGAAAGATAGATACAGTAGAGAGAGAGAGAGAGAGAGAGAGAGAGAGAGAGAGAGAGAGAGAGAGAGATAACACACTACCATTTCTGTCTCCAGTACTCCAAGCTCCATACTGGGGTCACATCGCTGAAGGCTGGGCCAGGAGACATCACAGAAATGTGTTATTCCTCCTCTATGAGAACATGAAGAAGGACCTCCTGAGTGAGTTACGACGTCTCAACACCTTCCTGGAGACGGGGCTGACGGAGGAGGAGCTTCAGAAGATCGCTAAGTTTACCAGCTTTGAGAGTATGAAGAATAGGACCTCAACTAATCCTATGGTGGAGGCACAGGAAGCAGGAAGGTTCAAGAAGGGTGAGAAGGACTTTGTGAGGAAAGGTGAGGTAGGTGAGGAAGTGAGAGAAGATAAGGAAGGTGAGATGGGTGAGAAAAGGTGGGGAAGGTATTGTTAGGTTGGGTTAAGTTAAGTTTCATTAGTGGTAGGTTTGATTATATTAAGATAGGTTAGGTTGAGTTAGTTAAGGTTAGGTTAAGTTAGTGAAGTGATAGGTTAGGTTAGATTAGCATTAGGTTAAATTAGTTTAGGTTAGGTTAGGTTTGCATCAGGGTGTTCAATAAGCTGGGGTTGTAATCTTCAGGTGATCTGTATAGACTTGAGCATCACAACAGAAGTCTACAGGCATATGCTGAGAGTATCTGAACCCTCGTCCTCGAAGGTTCAAGTGTTATCTTAGAGCATTACTGATAACACACATTATCTATAATATAATCAATCAGTTATCACAAAGGTTATTGCTACCACAAACTATCAATAACCACAAACAACCACTAACCACAAACTACCACTTACCACTAGCTAACACTAACCACAAACTATCACTAATCACAAGCTACCTCTAACCACAAACTACCACTAAACACAAACACTATACCACAACAACTGTTTTTCTTTTCCCAGGAACAACAGGAGACTGGATCAACCACTTTACACCTGACCTGGAAGACAAATTCAATATCTGGCTGGCCAAAGGAGGTCACCTGGCTAAGGAAATCCCATTTACCTATCATAGTGGTAACCCTCAATCACAGGGCCCGTTGGTGTAATCCCAGGGCCCATTGGCACAATTCCAGGCTCTTATACGAGTTGGTAATGTCAATTTATTTGAATAAAATTTACAATATCCTGTATTTATTTTTCTCCTTGTTTATTAGTATTATTATCCAGTACTTGTCAACAGTGTGTAACAGAGAGCCTGTGGATTACCAGAGATTGAACTCCTGATGTTTGAGGGAGACCCACCACATGGTCTCAGATGTCCCGAGACATTCGTACAGGAAAGTGGCAGACACGTTCTGGGGCTTTGATCAGGTGGAGTTAGACAAGGACAGTAGTTGCCTCCTTCATTACCTCATGGGAGAAGTATCAGTACCTGCATACCCCCATGGGGCTCTGCGCTGCCCCGGATGCATACACCCAGAGATTTGACGATGCGATCCAGGGCACTCGGTGGAAGTTAAGGTGTGGACAAGAAGTTGCAGTATGATGAAAGTGTGGAACAGTCCTTCTGACATACATTTGGCTTCGCGGAGACGTGTGCCAAGAAGGGAATCATGTTGCAACCGGACACGTTCCAATTTTGGTGGAGAGGCAGAGTTCGTGGGATACCACCTGGAATGGGAACCGTGCACACCCACTGAGGACAGGCTGGCTGCCGTTCAGAATTTCCCCATGCCTGCACAGCTCTCCATCACTGACATTCACTTACGACACAGGCTGGTGAACCACTTCACCCCATTAATGGAGCCATTCAGGGAATTGCTGAAGTGGCTGGCGGTAAATAAAGTCCACTGGGACAAATAGTTCCGCCAGAAGTTTAACCAGGCCAAAGACACCATCTGCAAGCTGACGAGGGATGACAAGACCAGGCCCACTGCTGTAAACACAAACTGGAGTAGGGATGGCATTGGCTTTGTTGTCTTGCAAAAGCACTGCTCCTGTGTCTCCCCGGACACCCCCTACTGCTGCAAAGGCAGGTGACGCCTGGCGCTGTGAGGCAGCTGGCATCTCCCTTCGGCAGAGGCCGGATATGTGGCAGTGGTGGTGCGGAGCCTGCAGAAGGCCAGGCTGTTTTTGCTAGGTTGCCCCAACCTGCTGTTAGTGATGGACCTCCGACCTCTGGTCAAGTTGTTTGGGGACAGGGAGCTGAAGGACGTGTTGAACCCATGGCTTTTCAGGCTAAAGGAAAAGATGCTGCAGCACAGATTCACCATCAAGTTCCTTCCAAACAAGAGGAACTGTGCCACCAACACGCTATCCTGCCCTGACAATTCCGCCAGGCCAGGAGGACCTTGACAGTGACAAGGAAGGTCTGGGTCACCAGGCAGACTGTGAGACGTCCGTTAATCTGCTGGGAGGAGTCTGGCAATTTACGAAATTGGCTGCCGTGAGTATTTTTGATGGTTTACCGGCATTTGATGTATCAGAATGACTAATTTAGGGTGTATAATGTAAAGACAACATATTTGAACTGTTAAATTTATATATGTGATATAATTTTAGGCCAAGGAAGTTACGATTGACAATTGAGGACAGTGGACGGGTTATTGAGATTCTGTATGACCTGTGTTGGGAAATATTAAAAATAAATGTTATTTTCGCTATTTCACCTCATATCAACATTATTATAAATATATAATTACCGTTGATTAAAACCTGAACAGCAACTTGAAAATATTATAAATATGGAAAGAGATGGTGCATTATAATACTGTACAAGGTAAGCATAAAATAAGGGTACTCATCTATTACTTTTTAAACATGTAAACCTAAGATAATATAGTGACAAAAAAATTACATCTTCCTTTCCTTCTTTCATGGATTTACCTACTTTCTTTACTTTACTTACTTTTATCCTCTTCACCACTGATTGGCTCATTAGCCACTTGGGCAATCGGTCATGTCTCTGTTATGCACTGTTTGCAAGTACTGGGCATGCTCCGGCTCCTGAAAGTACTTTAACCTGCTCCAGTGTTGGTCAAGTCTGGCCTTGAAAGAGCTCACACTCGGTGCCGTCACAACACTTTCTGGTAGATTGTTCCAAGAGTTCACAACTCTCACTCTGAAAATGTTTGTCCTCACAGTTTTCTGGACCTGCAGCTTCTTCAACCTTGAGCTGGGACCCCTTGTGGGGCGAGCGTCCGCCAGCTCCATGTAAGGACACTGAGTAGTGCCCCTTGAGATGCTTGTACACCTCAATTAGGTCGCCCCTTGCCCGTCTGTAGTATAAGCTAGGCAAGTTCAGGCGCTTCAATCTCTCAGGGTAGTTGAGGTGCCGAAGTGCAGGCACCAGTCTGGTGGCCCTCCTTTGAACATTTTCAATCAACTGACAGTCCCTAGTATATCTCGGGGACCAGACGGGGTGACAGTACTCCAGATGGAGAAGCACTTCACTCTTGAAGATCATCACGAGGGACGGACCATCTCGATATCTGATCGACCTTCTTATAAGACCCAATAATTTATTTGCCGATATTTACCTTCTTCTCGCAACGGCTCAAGAACTTCAGCTCATTGTCAACATACACACCTAGGTCCTTCTCACATACAGTCTCAACTAGTGCAGTTTCTTCATCCCATCGGGACATATGATACGCCTCCTTACCGTTGGTACGCCCCAGGTGCATCCTCTTACACTTCGTGACATTGAATCTCAGCAGCCATTTCTTTGACCATTCTTGGAGCCCACAGAGGTCCTTCTGCAGCTCTTCACAGTCAGCTTGGTTTTCAAATATACAATTACATCTAGCATTAAATATCCTACACTGATTTACACTTTCACATCACTTAGACGATCTTGATGATCTTATCTAATGACTTCGATTTCAGCCGCTCAACAACGAAGGCCCGAGTGCCAAACACGCTTTGTTACAGACGCAACATGACCCGATCCGCACGCTACGTTATATTGCTCTGATAAGCAATTTGCATCACATACCACCCTCCCCCCAACAAACAGCTCTCTCCCCAAAGTCGACTATTCCTTCTCTTTACCCCACATTACTTGCCATGCAGAAAGGACCCGGCGAGGCACAGGGATTAGTTGGTGGAGTGGATGATTACCTTTGACTGCGACTATACACTACACAGTAGAGTACTGAGTGCCAGACCAGAAGGAAAATGGCAGATTTCAAGGGGCTACATGTCCCTGTTGATGGTGAGTAAATACTGCATCTATTATATTAATTTTATTTAATGTCAGGTAATTCCTTCTGTTTTTCAAGGAGAGCCGGTGTTTTATGATACTGAGTTTACACCAGTACAATGTAATGTACATTTTTAATACAGGAACATAAGAACATAAGAATGGAGGAAACTGCAGCGGGCCTATTGGCCCATACTGGGCAGTCCCGTTTACACCCAACCCCTATTGCTCATACAAGCATCCAACCTATGTTTGGAAAGGTTAGGAAATAAATCAACAGTCTTCAGTGAAAAGTACTTGTTTTACTTACAAGATTATATTAAATCAATATACAAGATTCATTTATAAAGAACCCTTCAGTTAAATCATTTATTTGTAAAAAAAAAGTCACCTTGTTACTTTATCCTACTTATAATGACTTGTTTTATACCTAGACTATTATTTACAATATATAATGTACAACTTATTGATGTTTTATCATATTTGATTGTGCAAATTTTTTATACATAAATTAAGTAGAATTTCTAGCTGCCTACATATAGCTATGTACCAACAAAAAGCTTATTAAAACTTTTACAAGATCTATTTCCTACTAGATCTTACTAAGTCTTCAAATAAACTACAAAAATGTCCACCATTATTGTACACTTCCACACATGTCTGTTGTCAGTAAACAATTATACATACTGGTACTGCCAGACTCAACAAAAATTACATACAAGTATTGTATTAGCAAACAATAAAATAAACGAAAAATATTTATATACTGTTGCTACAACTATGATTCATTGTAAGTTATAATACACACAAAACAAAACTTTATATAGTATAAAATACACATTACTCATTGTGACATGTCTCTTGTGGTAAAGTACTCGTGACATGCCTCAAGATTTTGGCACCAGAGACAACTAAACATTTCTTCTTTTTAACATACAGATGCTATACTTTGCTGAACTTCATCCCTGAAACAAAAATATATAATACTTATAAAATGCTATTATAGGATAATCAATCATTTGAAATTACTATGCAGTAGTAATTTGTATGTATTGTACAGTACTGTAATTTAATACCTAAATGGTTTAGACAATTGTTTTTGTCCAGTAAGAAACACCCTGTTTTGGTTGAGACAAGTATGATTGTTCCTCCCTAAATTTGTTCTGGAATGCTCAAAAACCATCTAGCTCTTAATATTGAAGTGTTTGGCATCTCTCCAGCCAGCAGGGAAAAGAATTTGTATGTTGTCACTGTTACAATAACCATAAGATTTGTGGAAAAACTATTTCAATGTTCATTATATACCATATACTGTATATACAGTATACAGAGAAACAAGTAAAATATAATACATAACTATAAAATGATAAAAAAAGTGCTGGGGATGTATTTTGATTGGGAGGGAGTGGGAGACGTGGCAGAAGTGTAGTGGGCTCAGTGAATACTCCACCTCAACTGGAGGGAATTCCCATGCCATTATAAAGTCACGGAACTTTTCATCACACCGTGGGACTTTTAAATGACACGAGTATGCAATTTCTTTGTGATTTCCTTATTTGTTAGGATGTTTGGAGCTTTTTAACAGGTTTTTCAAAAATCGATTTTAGCTAACCAGGGGGTGGACTTTTAACCCCTACGCCCCGGCTGACATTCCAGAACGTCCATCTAGGGCGCCCCGGTTGATGTTCCGGAATGCACGCCTTTTCACAGCATTGTTTGAATGCCCAGCATGGGTTATCAGGTTCCAGCATCACTATTTGCATGTCACGGCACAAGCTTGGCCACAGGGAAGGTTCCTGAATGTAAGTACCTACTTTTGTTTGTTTCATTTTCATTGTTTGTCCATTTTATGTTGTATCAAAGTAATATTGCTAAAAGTAGTGTAGCTGTACTGTAGTGTAGTATTACTGGAAAATAATGCTATGATTATGTTATAAATGTATTTAATTGTGGAATTATTATTCAGATAAATAATTATACGCATTACTTGCTCTACCAAACACAAAGACAGCCAGACAGCTTGGCGACAGACTGCGTGTGTGTTGCCGAGCACTTTTTGTGAAAAATAATGCAAATAAAATATTATTAATTAATTATTTATAGGAAATAAGTATTATGATTGGTAAATATATGCATTACTGGCCATCCCAGCAAAAAATGGCCGTTAAGTGCGTAGTGACCACGAGTGCTCGCTATCAAAACAACACTGTCTCCTTATCTCCCTCGCCACTATGGCCCCAGGGAAGTTTCTAGACCTAGAGGGTCAATATATAGTTTTTCTTACTTCTTTTGTTAAAGTTGATTTTTCTTGATTTACCCCCACATGGGGGATACAGCCAGCGGCACCCTACCCTGAGGCGTAGGGGTTAAAGGGAAGACTGGCAACTGTCTACAGGTTAAAGAGCATAATTCTTAATCATAATGTACTGTATTCACTATTCATGCATCTCATGGATGTTCTGTATTTTTTAAAGAATAGAATCAAGCAGCTCTTCATTCTTATAGAATACCCAATGTTACATTATAGAATAGATCAATAAATTAATTCCTACATGTTGTTATTGTCCCTTTATATAAAGTTAACATACCCGTAATTAAAACCAGTTGGTTCAAGTGTTTAATTAAGTGTAAATAGTAAATCAAAAGTTATCTCCAAAGCATTTAAAGTATTAATAAAAGGCAAAAGCTTGAGGTTAGAGTGTGCAAGACTCGATGAAGTTCACTTTGTTCCAGATTCAATGTATAAAAGTTAAACTTGAACATTTCAAAGCTAGGGTAAATTAATCCTAAAAGATGTAGAGCTGGACAGCCTATGAAATAGTCTTTGGGTTCAGAGTACAGTACTCATAGAATAAAGAGAGAATACTTTAGAAGAATGTGTTAAGCAGAAAAAGTACTTGGAGTGCTGAATTGATGAGAGCATTTGAAGATGGTGTAGGTATAAGGAGCAAATCATGGATAAAAGATTGATATGGATGAGTCATGACAGCACAATTAAAATGTGTGAGAAGGTGACAAGACAAAAGGCAGTACAGGTTATATGAGTCAATTAGTGAGGTCAAGAGGTGTCATGTTTGATAAAAGGATTATTGTGGATTGAATACATGTGGGGTCCTTTGTGTACAGTATGAATAATAATATGAGGCACTGATATCAATGTAGAAATAATGAGATTCACTTTGTATACTTTACATGCACGTTCAGGATATGAGGAAGTGTGTACTGAGACTGTCAGCCCTTCCTGCCACTTTGAACTCTTTTCTTTAACCACTTTATATTGTTAGTTGTATGTCATATGGCTGTTTTAACTATTACTGTCCCTCCAAGCACTATGTTATCAGTTCATATTCCTAGTTCTTTCTGCCTTAGTGTTTAAACTCTTGTTAGAAATTATTACTATGATAACCATGAGTAAATTTATTCTTAACATTTATGCCATTAACATTCTTACAGTCAACTAAATGTTACACTCTATCAAATATATGAATGTATTTAGATAAGTCCTTTAATCTGTAACTTGAATATTGATGCAGATATAAAAAGTAACACTAATTAGGAATATTCATCTTGAAAATATAATTTACGTACAGTAAACTAAAAAAGGAAAAATATTAATTTCAATGAAAGGCACAAATATGTTTTCAAATACAGTGGTCCCTCGGTTAACGAGCACAATCCTTTCTAGAAGGTTGCTCGTTAACCGAAAAATTCGTTAACCAAGACCATTGTTTCAATGGGTTTTTGGGTAATTGGTTCCAGCTCACCGAAAATTGCCTAAATTCAATAAAAAAAAGGTAGAAAAGTACACTTACTTTGAGGTGTGTATGTAGAAGGCTCCTGGATGATGATGATGATGATGATGGGAATTAGAATAGGGGTGGAGGAGAAGGGAGAAGAGAAGGCATTGGGGTGGAAGAGAAGTCACCCCATGGCACCATTTCACCCATAAAATTTTAGTTCTCTTGGTGTAATTCAAGATTATTTTCTTTAAATCAACACTGCACTGCATTATATATTGTCAATATGTAAAATAAATTTCAAAATGATCAATAATTTGCTTGCAAACACAGAAAAAAAGCATTTAGTTGAAGAGAGTCTCAAGCAAGATGTTACCTCCACTGAAAAGACAGAGAGACTGATGCCTGTTTGGTGTGTTCACAGGCTGGATGGCGCACATAAAACTAGTTTCCTTACCTTCAATTCTGTTCAATAATTGTTAAAATGACTAAAAAATTTAATATTAAACTTTTAAATTTATTGAATAGTATAAACTTCTTGATATTTACTAAAATGGTAAGAAATATAAGCCCTAGAACTGATTACTGTATTGGCGGACTAATACTACAGCTGGTGGACCACCAAATGCAAGCGAAAACATGTTGAGGTCGGCTCGTAAGAAACTCGTTAATCGAGGGATTGCTCGTTAACCGAAGTTAAGAATCTTATGGAAGGCAACTCGTTAACCGAGGCACTCGTTAACCGAGGGACCACTGTAAGTCCTTTGTGTTAGCAGTTTGATGACCCAAATAATGTGCATCTAATATTAGTCAAGTAGTTTTAATATGAGGTTGGTAATTAACAAAGATCTTACCTTCATCATTAGAGTAGCAGTTATGGCAGTGCAACTTATGATTACGCACTCGCACATCAGCACCCGCTGACCCATTACCAAGTTGTATACCACACACACAGCACTTGAAGCAAGGGATGTGGTAGAACAACCTCAAACTTTCAATTATCATGGCAGCTCCACGCCCTGAAGCGAAGATGATTGAATTAATGATTATTAAATTATTAATACTGTATTGTACACCCACTAAAAAGTTATTCGGCACTCGTGGCATATTGTATTATGCCGTAAGGGTGCCGAATAATTTTTAGTGGGTGTACATGATACTTGTACACACACACACGTATACATGCACGATACATACATGTACACCCACGAAAAAATTATTCGGCACAATTACGGCATGATACAATACATATGACACGAGTACCGAATAATTTTTTAGTGGGTGTACATAAACTATAAAAGTTTCAACAACGTTGACACAATTTAAATTAAGTGATTTAAAGTGTGTTTAAATCAGAAGTTTTTAACACATTAACTCCTGCAGCAGTTATTAAGTGGAGGGATTGGCCCCCAGCTGCTAGTTGAGGGTGACTACCTTGTGGAAGATGCCAAGCTAGAAAATTTCATACCTAGCTCTTCTGAACAGTGTGAACACTTCTTCTTTCCTGAGACACTGAGCAGTCTCTGATCCTGTGCAGAGTTAACATCTTGCTGAGAAGAAGGAGGTGATGGCTGACCAGGACCCATGCCAGACTGGTACAGTGGAGCATGTGTGTGGGAAGCACTTAAGGCATCTGCATTCATGTAATCGTGATAGTTTTCATCACGGAAATTGTTACCATAGTTATTTCCCAATCTGGTCAAGAGATTAACACAACATTAGAAATACTGTACAGTGCTTATTAACAATAACTTACAGTCAGAAATAAAGACATAGCCAACTTATACAACTACATATCAAAGTTGGAAATGTTTAAATCGTTTGTCATTAAAAAAATTTACTGACAAACTTGTATTCAATGTTCAACTGGATATATCCATTATATAGCAATAACTTCCATTTTTAAGATCACTCACCTCCCACTGGTGTTACTGTAAGTATTCTTGTTGTTTTTGTTATTAACTCTCTGGGTTAGGTTGTGAATAATAGAATCAGGTAGAGCTTTGTCACCATTGGGTGCTGGTGAGGGCATGTGAGGTTGATATGTGGTGGCCTGATTTCTCCAGCTAGCATTGTTATTGTTATTATTATTATTACAATTATGACTTGGTGAAGGATTTTTAAGAGCTTGAGGGTAGCTGGAGTATGTAGGTGTTGTATTTTGAGGAGGGTAACTGGGTGTATTTTGTGTAGGAAGATAACTTGTGGTTTGTGAAGGAGACGAATGTTGTGGTGTGTGTTGTGGTGACACATTTTGTGGAGACTTCAACTGTGGCTGAGAAACTGGAACTTTTTGACGGGAAATTCTGTCCATTTGTTCCAGTCTTCTTTGCTCTGCCTCCTGTACAATAAAAATTATTTGTTTTAACTAATGATATTATATACTGTATAGTACTACATATAATTTTTTATTTGCATGAAATCAAATTCAATAAATAGCTTTAGAAAATTCATGCTACAACACAACAAATCAGTAAACAAAATTGCCTAAGAAACAATTCAATAAACTGGATTGAATATGTCTGAAAGTTGGTGGATGAGTATGACAGACTGGGGACCTAGGCCGCTCAGCCATCAGCAGAGATTGGAAATATGAAGTTATTTGCAGTCATATTTCCCGCCTCTGCTGACGGCCTTGTAATATTTCAATGTGATGCTGATCATTTAAAATGTTAGTTTTTCCATATTGTAGTATTACTGATGCAAAATTTGTCTTAGTATGCCTTACTGTGGGTAAAAATAAGTATATATTCAATGCATCCTCTAAAAGCGTGAATTTGCTTCTAGTTAATTCATTTATAAGATTTCTGATAAACTTCCTATGTGCACATGTTTGAAATAATGAATGTATGTATCTTTATAAATTCAGCTAAATATCTTCTTCGTCAAAAACGGTCATTCCAAAGATTATAAATAAACTCATTTAGAAATAATGTACATCATTATTTCAGGACAAAATCAGGCAGATTTGCAATAGCCAATCAGCTGTAACTCTTGAGGAGGGGGCAGGGCATATCTTCTAAGCTGGGAAAAAATGCACTATAGTACAAGAGGCCAAATCTTCTGCTGTAGCAAGAGACAGATGCACAAACTGTACTGTACATGAGACTGCCCACCATATATGTATCAATTTGGTAAAAAAAAAAACATGGGAAGAATATTTGTATACCTGATGGAGCCAATGTTTGCTGTAATCTCTCTTTTGTGCATCTGGTTTCTTTTTAGTAATCCAGCTTTCATTATCTGTGAGTCGAGGCTTGGGAATTGCTGATAGTGCCAGAAGGGTCTGCTTGGACATTTGTTGACCAGATGGTGATACAGAAGGCCCCTGGGACTCTGGCTGCTCAGTTTCAGCCATCAATGATTCACTGGTGGGCATGCGACTCGACCTGTTGTGAAACAGTAATTTACAATACTGTGTATATATATATATATATATATATATATATATATATATATATATATATATATATATATATATATATATATATATATATATATATATATATATATATATATATATATATATATATATATTTTTTTTTTTCATTAGCCCAATAAATGCAGCGGACTTCTACATACAATCAACACCTCAACTCGCCAGGATTCGAACCCACGGTCCATGAGCCCATGACTGTGACCGGGGAACACTACCGCTGGCCCACCAGGATACTAAAAGCAGTCCTAGACTTTGTTATATTTCACACAAAGCCTGTTCAACGAGCTTATGGCGCCGTGAACCTCTAATGGGGACTACCCGTATCACGTAGGTGTTCAGAGTAACGTTTTACCAAATCCGGCTTCGAAACAAACACAGTCATGGGCTCATGAGCCGTGGGTTCGAATCCTGGCGGGTTGAGGTGTTGATTATATATATATATATATATATATATATATATATATATATATATATATATATATATATATATATATATATATATATATATATACATATATATACATATATATATATATACATATACATATATATATATATATATATATACATATATATATATATATATATATATATATATACATATATATATATATATATATATACATATATATATATATATATATATATATATATATATATATATATATATATATATATATATATATATATATATATACATACATATATATATATATATCACAGTTGTGTTGGTGTGGGGATTAGTGGATGTCATCATTATGACCTGACCTCATGTTTTTTGGTCACCCTGTATATTTAAGCCTCTCTCTGTCCATGTAATCTAGTTGCCTCTGAAGATGTCTTGAATAAAGACGAAAGCTAAGGTACTCCGTTGTTTCCATTTTCCCGTGTGATTTTATCAAGATTTATCTTATCCACGTTTTCATTATGGTTACAGAAATATATATATATATATATATATATATATATATATATATATATATATATATATATAAAAAAAATAAAAAAATATATATATATATATATATATATATATATATATATATATATATATATATATATATATATATATATATATATATATATATATATATATATATACCTAGACCCCGACTTACAACTGCTTCGACTTACGGCCGTCGAGACTTACGACCGCCTCAGATTTTTTATTAATTTTTTTTTTCTTCAAATGACACGCATTTTCTATACCGAAACGTTTCCAGTTAATGTAGTCTCCATGTATAATTAGAAAATTATGGGGGCCCCATGTGCATTCAGCTGACTACATTAAAGGTAAGTGCTCAGTCACACTGTAACCATTCCTTATTATTTATTACTTTCACTGTACTGTATCCATTCCTCATTATTCATTATTTTTACTGTACTGTATTTCATTGTAGATTATTTATTAAAAAAAGAAAAAAAGAAAAATTTTTATTTATGTCGGACTTACGACCTGGATTTGGGTCCCTAACCCTGTCGTAAGTCGGGGTCTATCTGTATATATATATATAAAAAAAATAAAAAAATATATATATATATATATATATATATATATATATATATATATATATATATATATATATATATATATATATATATATATATATATATATATATACTGTATATAAACATATATTTTTTTTAATATTTGATTTATACAATTTACTTAGTGCTTCTATGCATTAACCAGGGTTAGTCTCTATAATTTCATACTGTTTGTGTGTTATCTAAGTTTTCTTGTGTGTGCATATTTAGTGCATAGTGATCTTAGAAGCAAAGACTTGTATAAAAGTGTTTATGAGAATTTGTACATGCATATACAGTACAGTAGGGTCAGGATATATCGCGACTTTATTTAATGATTTTTTTATATCGCGGCTATCAAAATTAAATTTTTTCCCTATATATGGCTATAATTTTTTTCATTTCTTGAGGGAAATCTGGCTGGAAACATTTCAAATGTACCGCCATGGTAAACAAATGCGTTATTTGCGAACCAGAGGTGCCGCTGTGGCTGCTCACTCACACTTTCACGCTCGAACGCTCAGTCTTTCTGAGTGAGTGACGAGAAAGCAGCCGATTCTGCTGCAGATTACGACTTCTAAGGCCAGTGTAAATGGGTTGCTAGTGACGTGAAAAGTGAAGTGAAGATAACGGAAAGCTTAATGGAAATGATTTAATACTGTAACTAATATTTTTGGTTTGTTCGTTTATGATTATTAAGTGAGGGTGGCAGTGTATCTTCTGTTGTTCTCGGGATGACGCATCAGCTGCCAAGTCTGGTGCAGATTCCAATTTCTAAAGCCAGTGTAAATGGGTTGCTAATGACGTGAAAAATGAAGTGAAGAGAATGGAAAGCTTAATGGAAAATTTTTTATACTGTAACTAATATTTTTGGTTTGTTCATTTATGTACAGTAGGTGTGGGATTGTCAAGTGAGGGTGGCAGTGTGGAGTCTGCTGCCGAGTCTGGTGTTCCCAGGATGATGCATCAGCTGCCGAGTCTGGTGTTCCCAGGATGATGCATCAGCTGCCTGTTGTTCCCAAGTCTAGTGTTCATTGGTGCTTTAGTTAGTAAGAAAATGAACTCGTTAAGTCAAGTTTAGTCACTTTTTGGGGCCTCCAGAAACTAACCCTATTTTCCCCATTGATTACATGTAATTATATATCGCGATTTAGTATATAGCGAACATCCTTGGACCCTATCTCTCGATATATCCCGACCCTATTTTACATGTCCTTATTTGACCAAGTGTATTTACATAATTGTGTAAAGCAGTAAGTGTTAACATAAATTTCAACTCTTGATGTTTAACAGTAAGTGTTAACATAACATAATATAACTGTTGATGTTTAACTGTCACATTACACTACATGTATTTATCACAACTCCATTTTAATCAATGGTGATGAATTAAAAAGTGACTTATTTATGTTATTACTGGACGAACTTTAAACAAATCATCCAAATTTCTCGTCTTACCTTATTGCTTCATGACGCTCTGTAGTGTTAAGGTCACTGTTTATTTTTTGAGATTTATTTGGAGCTGGAGGTGGCACTTTGTTTTTCCTTGGAAGAGGTTCTGGGATTGATTCTCTTGGAGAGGCTAATGGTGTTGATCTCACTGCATGTACTGGTGTATGTTTAGGTGCCTCAATAGTGGACTGGGAATTTGATCGAGAAAAGGGGTGAGGGGATGCTAGGGTGCTATACTGCGATGGGGATCCAGATGGAAGTGTCACAGTCTTGTGTCCTTGGGGTCTATAGCCAGTGATTCCTTCAGCTTGCACTAAACTGGCAGGAGGAGTTGAGTCATATGTGGGAGCCGTATAAAACTCTTGAATGGGAAGATGCGATGAAGACTGAGGTTGGAAGTTGTAACTACTGTTTTCAATGCTTGGAGAAATTTGGTGTAAAGGTACTGCTGATTCTTCATGACTGGCATAGGGAGTAGGAGGAGGGATATGGGTTGGCTGGGAATCTGAAACAGCTGCTGGACCAGCCTGTAGTTGGCCAGTACGTCGCAACATATCCTTGTCATGTCGCATCATTTCCTCTTCAAGTTCAGCCAGTTTCTAGAGGATGAACACACACATTAGTTTGAAACAAATCTCCTTTGCTAAAGCTGCTAGAGCTATCTTGAATCATCAAATGTTACATAACTGCAAATAGGAAATTAGGATGAATTCAAAAAGTTACTTTTCATGTTAAGAATTAGACAATATAGTTTAATGGCTTAGAAAAACAGTGAAATTAAGAAATTTAGAATTCAGTTTGAACCATCACCAAAAGATTGAGTAGGTGCGTGATAGCCATTAAAAATTACATTCTGAATAATTAATGTGAACAAGATAAAGTTGAATCAGAAAACTTGTGTTAACAGTTAACAGTGCAAATTTACCCACAGAAGTGTATCACATAGCTTTATTGAAGAACATATATTTTGTTATTGTTTGTTGCCATTTACAGACAAAATATTGCTCGTCTATTTTGAGAACGAGTGAACGGTCATTACCAATACAAGCAAGTCTTGTAATGCTTATCTGGACAGTATTTGTTATTGAAGGAAGAACAACAGTACAGCAACAGCTCCTCTCTATCTCAAAAAAAAAAAAGTTTCACTCTTCACTATCTGCTGCATTTACATATTCAAGATAACATAATTTTATTGAATAATTAAGCTTCAAGAACTGTATTTTATGCTACATGTGATTATGTTTTAGAGAGTTGGGTGATCCAAATACTGTAACTTATATATTGACCACCGTGACTGTGACTGGGCTGTGATCTTTGTTCTGTTAGGTCCTCCACTCACTTAAAACCTGTAATACTGTAGTGAAGAAAGTTTTATTCCACCCATTGAATCTTCTGGCATCTTCTCTTTGAAAAGAAGCTCAAAATTTTCTTTCCAAGATTAAAGAAGGTTTAAGGTTCTTAACTATACACTACAGTATGTATACTGGTTAGTATAACTTCCTTCTAATAAGGTATTATATCTTGGGCCTTTATTTAAAATCCTCGATCTTCTCACACCTAAATCCTCTGCCTGGCAACTCTTGTAATACACTAACCAATCTGTGGTAAACACCCAGGATACCTGTAATATCGGTGACTGGGGCACAATTCCGTGGTTCTCCATCCTTTCCCATTACAAATGTAGTATATTTCCAAAACATTGGAGGACTGCTTCCAAAATTTTACTTTCTTGCAAAGCCCACAGCCAGGTGGATCACATAATACTTGGAGACTGGAGTCTCCATACCAAACTTCATAATGCAACCAATGGTTGATATGTTAATTCTCAACCTGGGGGCCATGGCCCCCAGGGGAGCCACGGCCCCCAGGGGAGCCACGGCAAGAATTTAGGGTAGCCACGGAGAGCTGTTATAAATTGTACGTTTCCAAATAATGTTGGGAATCTGAATTAAACAAAACTTGTATTACTTATTTTGACTTGGCAGAAGAGAATTTTCATTATTTTTTTGTAATTTTGTTTAATCATAATGACAAGGGGGAATGGAGCGAAAAAGGTTGAGAACCACTGTAAAAACCCATTTGGATAAACCAGCCACCAAAAGCTTGATAACTGTTGGCCTAGAAAATTTCCTCCAACTAACTAGATGATTATTTGTCAAACTTTAGTCTCAATCCTTTTGGTTTTCTCAGGTGTACTGTATTTGTGCAACAAAGTTTAAATAAGCTTTCATTACATTAAGAAGTTTGGAGCTTCTGTTGCTGTTCTATCAAAAAAAAAAAATTCAATAATGTTATTCAATATGACTCGGTTCTGAATCTACATTTTCAAAATTTGTGCTTTGGTTCAATCCCCCATTCAAAAAACAGTATGTATTTCTTCTTGAAGTTCCTTATACTATATGTAAAAGGTAGATTGAGGAAAGGAAGGATTGCTGGAAGAGTTTCAGGAAATACTGTCCAGGAAACAATGACAAATGACACTTTAGTAAAGATGGATGTGACTATTCTATAAGATTAAAGAAAATTACTTTTCCTGCATCAAAGCATGTATTTTTTTTACTTTGGCAAATTGCTGTTTAAAATATACAGGCATGTTCATTTAATGAAAAACAGAGTACTGTATGGTGCTATTGCAAAGTGTGAGAGAGAGATACACCTAACTTCATATTCATTGTCAGTGAAACAAAAATACTGTACTGTATATAGTTTGCACTTAAAGTGCAGGAACATCATAATTTAAATCAGGGTATCTCCTTTCTCTTTTTGAGATAAGTACTGTTTGAGAAGGTATTGCATCTGTGTACTCAAAGTAAAATAATATTGGTACAATGATCCTTCAATACTTTGCTGATTGTTTTTCATCATTCATTCTCATGAGGCTGGCCTTGTAGAAATCAAATACAGTACAGTGTAATGAAAAATTAAAAAAAAAATTATTTGTAATGAAAAACCTTAATGAAATTATAATTATTAAAGAGGAAAATTTACTGATACAGTATATACAAGTACAGTAACAAAATTAAACTGTAAGTAGAGTTTTCCTCATTTATTCTCTCGCACATTCTCTGTTATTTACTTTTTTATTTTACATTGTTTTCCCTTGTGCCAATCTGGTTTTAATGTTCACCTTATATTCTTCAGGATGTGAACTGGTTGATGCTACAGAGTCGCTACTGTAGTCCAGAGTACCGATGTGGGCCATCAAATGATCAGGGTACTGTTGTCTAGGTTCAGAAGGGAGCTGATGCTCTGTTTCAACTGATGTCTGTGGTTCAATCCCATATGGTGATATAGATGGTGTGTCCATAAAGGTCTCAGCCTTGACTACATGACTTTTAACAACTTCAGCATGTGCATTTTCAGTATTAATAACAGATTTTAGAACAGCACAAGCAGAGTCAATATTATCAGAATTCATTAGAATATACTTTGAATCTGTGGTCTTAGAGACAGACTCAGAGCTCTCATATATGTTAGTTGAGGTCACAGGAACCATCATAGGAACCACAGGGTTTCTGTCCGATTCAGAGGATGTTTGTAGGTTCTTGGCCTGGGAAGGAGATAGGGCAAAGGTTGTGATACATGAATGTGTTGACTGTGAGTTGCAATTTTGTGCAAAATGTTCTTGCTTGTGTGCATCTATGATTGAAGTTTCCATAGCATTTTGAGGATTCAACACACCAGCATCAGAATCAGATGGCTTTGAAATGAACTCAGATACACTATCACTGTCACTGGAAGATTCTTCTATATTAAATCTAACTTGTTTTTCTTGGCAATTTTTTTTCACTGAATTAAAGGTATTACATTTGGTCTGTTCTTTATCCCTGGTGTGTTCTAATCCATCATCTTTGCATGCAAGTTTGTCAAACATAAAATTTGAATTGATACACGTGTTATTCATTACACTGGAAGAGGATCTGATATTAAGAGATGAGCTTGTACCTAAACTTTCTGGGTTAGAAGCATTCTCTGAAGTCTGATAGGAGTTTGAATCAGAGGAAACATATTCAGGGGAAATATCAAATGTATTTGCCTTAAATGTCATTACAGGTGAGACCAAAGTTGCCTCAGTAGATGGCACTGAAACTATAGGAGCCCTGTCAGGACCCAAGCAATCTTGTGTGGACATAACTGATTGAGATTCAGTCAAAGATGCCAAAACATGCAACTGCAGTACAGATGCTGAAACCTCAGCATTAGTTTGTGGGGACAGAGATGGAGCTTCAGTAGATGGTATAAGATTAGGAATTGTGACTTTAGGAAGCTCAGGTATGATGACATCAGCATTATGAGTGGATTGAGAAGCATTTGTAGTTAACAGAGGGTCAGTTGTTAAATTTTCAACAGGTATATGAATGTTAAAAGATGACATCTCTCCAGTGTCAGATGTAGATGTCAATGGAACTTTATCTGAACATGGCTCGACATTACTGTGTTGTATGGTTGTACTAGAGGCAGTAAAATAAATGGGGGAGGTAGAGAATGATGGACCTGAAGCTGCCTCTACCATAGGAGATGGTACACATTCAGGGGATGTAACACATGGTGAATATAAATTTCCCATATTATTATGAAGATCATATATATATGGAATTATAACTTGGGGAGATGAAGGGTGAGGAGTTGTAACTTCTGGAGTTGTAATAATTTCTGTTACAGAAAGCAAAGGACTAGAGGGGTTAACTTCCTCACATTCTGGTATTGGTGTAAGGCTTGGAACACTGCACTCAGGGGGAGCTAAAGGTAAAGGTGGAGGGGAAGAACAAACACCACTTTCATGACCACCACCATTATGTTGATTGATACAATTAGATATTTCATCACCTTCAGGAAGTGGAGACATGGGGATAAAATCACTGGGAGCAGGTAAATTAGCCGCTAAATAAGCAAAAGGTCGAGTAATGTCAGAAACAGGCGATGGAGGAGGAGGGGGGACACAATGAGATAATTCCTGCAAGCAGGAATTATGATTTACATTCAAGCACTGTAAAATGAACAGAAGATAAGGCTAATTAACATTCCATTAGTAACAGACTATTTTAAGTATTAATAAAAAAAAAAAAAAATATGCCTATTTTATTAAGATCTACTCTATTGTTTTCAATAATGACAACACGATTCTCAGTTACAAAGGGTAACTCAAAATGTGTATCTTCAGGAGGAAATTACACTACAGTACTGTGTCCTTTCATCTGACCACCCTTGATTTTTAATTAACATTAAAATGTCACAATAAGATCTACAAAAGGAGTGTTATTTTTCTTTGTCAGTAATCATTATCATTTTTAGAATACAGTACAGCATCTTGGTATTTCAATTTAGAAAATACAATTATATAATTGTAATACTGTATGAATTTACTGTTTTTCATACTCAACAGGACGACTAATAGTGTCATATTGTATATGAAAACAATGTCTCCTTCCTGCATTAATTTCAAAGCTTTTGAACACTGATATAATGAATGTAGAATAATGTTCATTTAACACTTTGGCCGAAAAGTTAACTCCTTCATAATCTTCTTAACTAGCCTTAAAAAAGCACTTTTCAACATACTAATAACAGTCATTGATATACTCTAGTACATTTCGTGTACTAACATATTTTTTATACTAGATCCTTATTTTCATGAATGTGAAGTACAGGTTGTACCTCTCTAGTCCGGCATTCTGTGGTCCGGAAACTCCAGTGGTCCGGAACGATTTTAGTTTGTCCAATAGGTAGATAGGCAGCTTTTTTTTTTTTTTTTTTCTGAATTATTATTATTATTACAGGAGTATTAAATTTTTGCCCCTCAGGCCCCAATGTGGGTCAGTGACCTATGCCCGGGTGGGCTAATCCCCGTAAAAAAAACAACAACAAAGCCGCGGGAAATTAAGGTTTGTTTACATCCGGCAGTTCGGCTGCTCTCTCTCTCTGCTTGTCTATACAGAGTACAACATTTAACCCTTCAATATATATGAGCAGTAAATAAGTGTTGCTTTCATATTCTTATGTAGAGTAATGACGATATATTTTCACATGTGCGCACTTACATACGAGCAGTCTCACTTTTTTTTTTACCATTAATGGTTAGCTACTTATATTGTTCCATTTATTAACATTAAATAACATTACAGGTACTTCAAGCAACCATATTCATTTTTTACATTAATTTTACTACAGCTAAACTCAGGGTCTTATTTTCTTCAGTTTTATATGTAGAACCAATCAGTCACTGGTTTCGTAAGCTTTAACATAAACAATGCCGGCAGCCGTCTCGTCTCCTCTAATATTCCACGTATTATTAATAAATTGTATTGTTAATTTTGCACACGTACATTAATTCAATAAAAACAAATTCAGAAACATTAATTAAAATATATATGAACAGTAAATAAGTGTTGCTTTCATATTCTTATGTAAAGTAATGACGATATGTTTTCACGTGTGCGCATGTGCACTTACATATGCGATCTCTCTTTTTTCTTTACCATTATCGTTAGCTACTTCTATTGTTCCATTTATAAACATTAAATAACATTACTTAAAACAACCATATTAATTTTACTACAGCTACAACCAAGGTCTTATTTTCTTCAGTTTTATATGTAGAACCAGTCAGTCACTGGTTTTGTAATCAACGAAAACAATGCTGTGTCATTTCCTCGTGTTTTAATATTCTACGTATTATTAATGAATTTTATTGCTCATTTTGCACACATAAACATTAATTCAATAAAAAAGACATTCAGTAATAAACAAAAATGAATCTTTTGTACATAAGAGAAATGACGCTGTTTACACGATTATGCACGTCGTCTGCACGTTGGCGGGCCGTTCAAACCCGTCGAAATTCAAGTTTCCGCCGTCAAAATTTTTCTTTATTTATTTTTTTGTGTGTTCCAATAAAATACGTTAAGAATTAAAAACTCGCGAAATTTGAGAAGCTAATATACGACATTTAACCCTTCAATATGTCTTCAAAGAGACCATGACGCAGAGAAAGTGGTGCTAGTGCTTCCAGGCATAAGCACAAGTCACTATCTATCCAGGAAAAGGGTGAATTTCCATGGTCCGGCACCGGTCAGGTCCCGAGGTTGCCGGACTAGAGAGGTACAACCTGTAGTACAATAATTATTATCTTTTTGACTGATATCAGCAAAATGGTGACTTCAGCCTATCTTAAAAATAAGTTGGAAGCATGAACCAGAAAACTGGCAAAACTGACAGATGCTCTACAAGTTGATTATGAAATGGACATGAATGTCCTCACTTTTGACCTTTGAGTTCAAAGTGTGACCTTGTTTTTCAGGACACATTTTACTGACATAAAATTTTTTGGTGTTCTCATGAAAATCCCTTCCCCGGTTCAATAGTTTTAAAGTGCATATGAAATGTAGGATGAATGAACAAACAGAGCAGCATTTAATGTGTTTTTTTTTTGTGACAACTATTTGGGGCTCTGTTGAAAATGAAAGTTTTCAGGAGTCTAACCCACAACAACCCTACATACAAGGAATCATAATAACTCCATACAGGTTTACAACTACTGTACACAAATCACTCACTGATAAAACAAATTTTGGACATACCTCTTGATACTGCATGTGTTCATCAATCTCATTCTTCTCTAGAGTTTGTCCATCATCTTGCCTGTGATCTTCCCATATATACTGTTGCTGTTGTAGTTGCTCTGATCGCTCAAGGTTTTCAATTATTTCACGCTCACGGCGAGTAATCTCTGCTTCACTCAGTAACTGAAATACATAAGCTTTATAAATTTTGATTCAAGGAGTACTTAATTGTTAACAGTGATTTACCTGTATATATTACAGGTTCTCATATGTTTAAACTACTGTATTGTGGTTGTTATTTTATTTTGTCTTTTAAGCATGAAAACCATTTACCAATTTTATGGTGAAAGATATACTGTACTGTAATGTATAGATTACATATTTTTTTAAGTTAAAACTTTGGCTATGTTGTTTGTTGATGGCGAGACTAAAAGCATTACGAGAACAATAGTTACGTGAAGGCATACTAATGAGTACAGATGGGATGGATGAACGTGTATAGAGAGTGAGGCAGAGAGAATAGGGGAACATTAGAAGAGAGACATGGCTTAATAGGAATGAAGAAAGAATAATGCAAACCGTTAAATGATGCTGCAGTGAGAGGATAAGAAATGGTAATTTGCTTACATTCCACTCAATCTAATTACCCGTAGTATTCTTCCACTGATAACTAATCCTTAGTGTAATACTGTGGTTCTTTACCTTTTAGAAGCTGTCCCCACCTATGGTCAACCATGAACTTATAGCATCCTCCCTAATCCCCAAACAGCCTAAGAACACATTTTTCAAGTTTAACTTTCACATCCAATGTTGTCTTTCTAGATCCGAATAAAAAAATTAGTTGAATTGACAGGGGGTTAAGTTGACCAAGGTTTGAGTTGATAGGGGGATGAGTTGACCAGGGGTTGATTTGATAGGGGGATGAGTTGACAGGGGGGTGAGTTGACCAGGGGTTTATTTGATAGGGGGATGAGTTGACCAGGGTTGATTTGATAGGGGGATGAGTTGACAGGTTGATTTGATAAGGGAGACCAGGGTTGATTTGATATGATGACCAGGGACCAGGGGTTGACCGATGACGATCAGGGATGAGCTGACCAGTCAGGATGACCAGGGGTTGATTTGATCAGGGGATGAGTTGACCAGGGGTTGATTTGATAAGGGGATGAGTTGACCAGGGGTTGATTTGATCAGGGAATGAGTTGACCAGGGGTTGATTTGATAAGGGGATGAGTTGACCAGGGGTTGATTTGATAGGGGGATGAGTTGAAAAGGGGTTGATTTGATAAGGGGATGAGTTGACCAGGGGTTGATTTGATAAGGGAATGAGTTGAAAAGGGGTTGATTTGATAAGGGGACGAGTTGACCTGGGGTTGATTTGACAAAGGTGAATTGACCAATCACCTGTCAACCCCTGGTCAACTCACCTCCCACCCCCCTGTCAAAATCAATAAACATAATATGATGGGGAGTTTAAGGAAGTTTGATAAAGATATATACTGTACAGTATAACAAGACTTGAGTTTAGTGCACATGAACCAATATTAAAAAAGGACAAGGCAAAGACACAATGTCCAGGAGTTTCATCAGTGGGTATATATGTCTCTATTGAATACTGTACACTTAATCTTTAGATTTCATACAGAACAACTAAATAAGATCATGTTCATACCTCCAGAGGGGAAGACTTGGACACTTGGGACTCCAGCAGACCACGTTCTGCCTCTCGCTCCTGCCTCAGGAAATGACTGAGGTCTGGGGGAGGCTTGACCGTGTTTTCTGCTGTAAATATAAACATGTACAGTAAGAAATTCTTTTAATAAGTGAATAAAATAGACAGTACAATTCAAAAGTTAAGAAATATTGTCAGATTCATGTATGAATCACACATTTACCCTTATAAATTTGAGTAAAATTTAATTTATTGAAGGATTTATATCTTCTGTTTATACTATATTTGTACATGCAATGGTTAAGATTTTTAAAACTGAAACATCAAGTTTTGTAAAATTAAAAAAATAAATTGAGGCTACGAGTAGACTTGGATTTGCTTAAAATCAATTGTTTTAGGTATTCATTCCAGCTCTTCACCTCAATTTTTTTTTTTAGGAAATTGTTTAAACCATTTTTCACTTGGTTGTTTTGCAGTGACCTCTTACTAAACAAATCTTGCCACTGATCAGCTTGTTAGTCACTTGGGTGGTCGGTTATGTCTCTGCTATACACTGCTTGCAAGCTCACAACCCTCACTCCGAAAAAGTTTGCCCTTAATATTTTTTTAACTTTTGGCAGATAAGGGAACTTGACTGAATAATGTCCTCTGAGGTGTTTATAGACTTCTATTAAATCACTCCTTGCCTACCTATAGTATAAGCTAGGCAGTTGCAGGTTCTAATCTCTCTGGGTAACTGAGGTGCCATAATGCAAGCACCAGTCTGGTAGCCCTCCTTTGGACCAGACAGGGTGATATTACTAGGAATGGACCATACAGTATAGGTATCTGAATGACCTTTTTATAAGATCCACTAGCTTAGTCACTTAAGCTTATACAATTAAAGGATTTCCTTCTTTATGTTTTCAGATGAAGTACAGTACAGTACATACTTTGTTCACTTTCAAAACACTTGCACAAACACTTCAATGCCATTCATAAACCAGGCCAAGCACTGTGTAGTAATATGAGAAACTAATTAACTTAATGTATTTATCAAATCCTCTTAACCATCATTTACCTACCTTCTTCAATATACTGTGATGAGGTGCCCAAGAAGTCTGATCTACGCCTCCATAGCTCCTTCTTGAGACGACGAGTTGAATTTACTCGGGTGAAGGCCTCCTAAACATGTCACCCAATTAATAAATAGGAAAATTTAATCTTCACTAGACATAAACAAAACAATCTAGGAAATGCGTTAATGCTGCTAGGTGCAATATATTTATTATTACCCTGTATTGTATTCATAATTTCATATCATAAACTGTACTGTATAGGTGAAAATAACACTACCACTTCAGTTCTTAAACTCCTAACCAAATTTGTCTCTGTACAAGTATATTGATTACCTCAATATTATTAATGATTATTAACATTTTACTTTCACATACAGCATCAACTCTTTATTTCTTTATCAGACTAACTACATGGGCCACCTATGTAGAACATCATGTAAGCACCTGGGGTTACAGTTTCATGGATAAGCAGAAGGTTTTGATACTTATTTATCACCCAAATTTATTGAAGGTGCAAATGAAATCCACTCGAAGAAAGTCATAGAAAAGATGAGCTGCAAAGATATTCAATAATACCTACAGTACTGTATTAATGCTGATATAACTTTCAGCTCAACAAAACTACAGTAAATAATCTACAATGTTCTACTGTCCTAGGTAGTTCCTACAACCAAATTGTTCTACTGTACTCAAACATTACTGACCAATAATATTTCTTTTCATGCAAGCCAATTTTTACTAGAAATAGGATGGCAATTCAGGCTAACATTGTACAGCTCTCAAAATGCCAAAGAGCAAGCAATTGTGTAAAATTGCATGTCACTACGAATACAATGCTGTATGTCTTCTACCAATATTCTAATATAAATTAACGGTAGTTTATTTACACAACAACAGAAGATGAGAACTCTCAAGTGCTTCATGAAAATATCCATAAAAATAAACAAAAAGCCCTTGCACACTAGCCTCTTTATTACATGTCATATACAATATAATGTCATGATACTTCATATTTTTTTCATGTCATATTTTTCCACCAAGTCTGTATGTACTACAGTGTTCCCCTTCATGTGCTTTTACCAGTTTGTTAAAAAAATTCATAATGGAGAGCTAATTTTCATTACTGAATAACATTGCACATGATAATGTTGAATGTGATTGATGTAATGCTAAATTGAGGAATAAAATATAAAATTTATACTTCACTTTCCTTAAAGTAATTTATTTTCTGGCTATTTATAATCTATGGTGACCTACATTGATTTGTGGTGACAGACCTACTACAACCTACAGTATAAATACTGTACCTATAGTACTTAAATCACATATACTGTAATAAATAACACTATTTAAGTGGCAATTACTGTATACCTGTACTACTGTTACTGTTATACTTAAGTGCCTCTAAATGGGTTTTCCAGATTTGATAAAAAATATACTAATGTAAAGTGTTGAACTCTGCAACAGTACATTAATTCCTATCCCAGTGAAGCAAATTTTCTGTACGTATATTGTAATACAGTACAGACCAAATGTTTACTGAAATGATCATAAATCTGTTTTACAGTGCAAATAACACTGTATAACACAAATAGTTAAATGAATGAATACTGTACTAATCAGAATAGCACACTAGATACTATACAGTACAATACTTTGAAACAATAAAACACAGGACTGTAGTGTAGTGTATAGATACACAGAAGTATTATATTGTACTGCAGAATGATGAGGAAGATGTAGATTACTGTGAAGTATTAACTTGTATCATGATTAGTTTATTGTTCACTATTTAGGATTATAAAATAACACATAATATCCATGTGTGGTTTTGCACTACTGGAGAGGTTACCGGGTATTCATTTTTGTAGTGCAATGTATTGTAAAATGCCAAAAAATGGATGGCTACTGTCTGTGTAAATATTGTACAGTACTTGAACAGCTCTGATATAATCAACCATTAATGTCTGACATTACATATTTTGTGAAAAGAAATACACAGTCAGAGTGACTTCTTTCTGTCTTCAAACCTGGGGTGACACATGCACGATCTTCCCAAGGTAGGGTAGTTGGTGATAGGTTCAGTGAGTTTGGAAAAATTGTAAAACATTCTTTCATGTGCAAATGATAACGTTTTTTATTTATTGCAATATACAGGTAAAGAAAACCATCTCCCACTATCCAGTAGGGCACAGCACATGCAAAAATGAATCCATGCACCCCTCTCCTTGCTCAACTTACAGTCACTCTTCATTAACTCTTTCCCACTCACATATTCCTCCACTCCACTCATATAGAGACACTTTTGTTGTCATTATGATTTCAACCCAAAATTTTTCCTAATCTCACAACCTATCATCCTTAAACTATTCAGTCATTTATTCATAAATCCAACCTCTGTCTTGTGTTATCACTCTAATCATTCTTCTGACTCTGAACAGACATCTTAAAACACCTACCTTACTATAGAACACGTACAGTACAATGTTCTCCCAATCATTGTACAGTAATATCACCTTAGTATCCTGGTAACTAACATTTTTACAGTTAACATCTTTCCTCAAAAAAGGTTGTTGCATTCAAAACTTGTGGGATTTTCTCCACATACTTTACTGGCATTCTTTCTCTCGTAATAAAAAAGAGACCAAAAATTAGTAAATCTGAACTCCCTCTCTCTATCTAATGTTATCACTTTACTTTTTCCTTTATCCTCTTTGCTGCTCATCGGCTCATTAGCTGCTTGGATGGTCGGTCACATCTCTGTTACGCACTGTAGGCAAGTACTGGGCATGCACTGGCTCCTGAATGTACCTGAACCTGCTCCAGTGTTGTTCAAGTCTGACCTTGAAAGAGCTCACACTCGGTGCCAACACACACTCTGGCAGGTTGTTCCAAGAATTCACAATTCTCACTCTGAAAAAGTTTGCCCTCACAGTTTTCTGGACTGTGGCTTCTTCAACCTTGAGCTGTGACCCCTTGTGGGGTGGGTATCTGCCAGCTCCAGGTATGGACACTCAATTGAGTAGTGCCCTTTGAGATGTTTATACACCTCAATTAGGTCACCCTTTGCCTGTCTGTAGTATAAGCTAGGCAGTTGCAGGTGCTCTAATCTCTCTGGATAACTGAGGTGCCGAAGTGCAAGCACTAGTCTGGTGGCCCTCCTTTGGACATTTTCAATCAACTGACAGTCCCTAACATATCTCAGGGAACAGACTGGGTGACAGTATTCCAGGCAGGGAATCACCTCACTCTTGAAGATCATTACGAGTGCCAGACTATCTTGATATCTGAACAACCTTTTTATAAGATCTACTAGTTTAGTTGCTTGATTCACCATCTTCTCACAATGGCCCAAGAACTTCAGTTCATTGTCAACATGCACATACCCAGGTCCTTTTTGCATTCGTCTCTATTAATGCAGTTTCTTCATCCTATTGAGACATATGATACGCCTCCTCACACATTCACTTCCCACGCATACACACCCATGCTCTTAATTTTTCTTATTTTATAGTTTAATATAATATTTCCTTATTTCTAAGCCACTTGAAAGTATTGTAATGATTTTTCGACAACTTTTATAGTTTCATTACAAGTAATAATAAACGCGGTGGCTGGGCTAGCAAGTTAGCAACGTAGTTATAGCCCACCACCTCCATACATGTTCAGCTCCCACACATACACACACATGCTTAATTTATAGTTTTAATTATATCTTCTTTTCAGTATTTATAAGCCAAAATGTTTATATAGAGTGGAATAAAAGTTAAAGAACCCCATTATTCTGAGACACATATTTGAGAGGTCATCCTGTAGCACTGTGCATTGTAGGATTTATTGAGGAAGCCTTAGACTGAGTTTCAACTAACCAGAAAAACTCTATCTGGCACCTCTCAATCCCTGTAGGTGCTGGAATACAGGGATTCTACTAAATTACCTTTGTCTGCCATTATCATAAGTGCATGTGTGAACTACATTGTGCCTGAAGCCAGTTGTTCTCCCCTTTAATGTGTGGGAAGGATCAAGTGGTAAAGAGAAACAGCAACCATGAAGAAGGAGCAAATAATAATAATAACAACAGTACTTTCATCATTGCCATTTTCAACTTTCAAATTTATATCGCTTCTCTCCTGGAGTACTGTACCTTATGATCAGTCTAACCTAGATTATGTTCATCTTTATCTCACCCATAATCTACACTATATAAGACTACTACACATACAGTATTCATTATATATATATAAAAAAAAAAATGCATCCACTACTTATACCAAACACAGAGTTATTTACTTTTCCTCTGATCTTTGCTTACCCACACCAACCAATACAGTACCTCTCTTTCCTTACCCATTTCTCTCCATTCAGCCTCACCCTAGTACTGTACATCCACATCAGCCATCAAAAATACATTCTATTATTCTTTCTCATTATGACATCATTCTACACATGTACTGTACACTCAATAAAAAAATATTCTGCACCCTTGGCTCTGAAACCATCTGCAATGATCACTGCGACAGAAGCCGTGATGAGTGTAGAATAATCTTTTAGTGAGTGTACCTAAATTTGTTTGTAGATGTAATTATTAAAAAAAAATCTGTTCACTCACTTCACTGTCACAACAGTACTTTTAAGCTGAGGTCATGAAAGCAAGCCATTTTGTCTGAACTGAAGTACAGTACTGTGCCCTGTAAATTGATCACACTACACTATTCCATATGCCTTTATTCCTCTTTTAAACATATACAGGTACTCCTCAACTTACCGTAAGACCTACTCGATTTACGACCACCCGGACATACGACCGCCGCAGTCGTATAAAATATTTTTCAAATTACGTATTTTCGAGTCCCGATGTTAGTGATCGCGCTGTGTACTGACAAAATTTTCGTTTGTAATTCCTTTTAAAATGGCTGGCAAGCATAAAAGTGAGAGTTCTCATGATGCTGAGAAGAAAAAGAGACACCCATTTTAGATTTTCTATGTATTATTTTCGCATTTTCGACTTACGACACAAATCGACTTACGACTTGGTCGTCAGTACTTAACCACGTCGTAAGTCAAGGACGGACTGTATTACATTCATGGGACTTTGGTATTTTTCTCTTCACCTTGTTATTTTAACATTCACTCCATCTCAAATACTCTTGATGTACCGGTAGTTCAATCTTCGCTTCTTTGAACCCTCCTTCATTATGAAGTAAGAAGAAGGCATTTACTCTCTACTTTATTGATACTATACCAGATCTGCCAGTACAATAACAAGGCACTATAGTATTTTATTTTCCAAATGTTCTCAGAACTGCTGTTTGGTTTGCACCTCTGATAAACTGAGACATAATAAGACCAAAGTGTGCTTAAAAATTTTCTGTTTCACCCAATTATCTTTAAGTTATGGAACAGCTTATTCTGAAAATCTACATAATTTTTTCCATTTTATTTCCCAGACCAGTGAAAATAGTGAGAATATCCCATTCACCTCCTATATATACAGTATAGAACTGTAATTATTATGTTTTTCGGTAATAATCAAGAAATACTTCGACTGATTTCACAGTACAATACTGTACAGTGTTGTATACACTCATCTACCTGGTACTGAGTCTTATGTTGGTAACTAAGTCAGGCTTACATTCACTCAAATCTTTACAACATAGCTATAGTACATTAAGTACAGTACCTGTGTACAGTAACACTCTCTTATATTAATTAATGTGCCATATATTAAAGAGTTATGAATAAGAATACATGTCTTTATGTTTAGTGTTGTTTTTTTAGTTTATTGAAGACAGAAAAGACACAAGTGCACATTGTGTATATAATAACATTATCGTATGCTCTGATGCATCACATTTTAATGCTATACCCACCTCCTCCTCAGTTGGAAGACTTTGTGGCTGATCTGATGCATCGATGTCAGAATCGTCATCAGGGGGAGGGGGGGGAGGGGGCTCCGAAGGTGGGGCCGCCTGGGAGGGGCCGTCCGTCCACGTCACGTCTAGCACCTGAGTAACCCACGGCACAGTGCCAGAACCAGTCATGCATTATCTGCTATCTAGGTATGCTGCGACACTACCTTTGTTCTTGTTTAGAAATTTTCAATCATTTTTGAAAACTGCTTCCTAGCTTTTCATAAATTATATTTTACTTAATAAATGCAAAATATTACCATTATAATACAGTATGCATTTCTTCACCCAACATATTAGTATCGTTTTTGAGGCAAGCAAGTTGCTCCCTCAAATATATTACTTGCATGACCTGCTTATCATATAAAGTATTAGGTAATTCAATGGCACCCTCCGAGACTCTGCAGTGTTAGTTTGAGATTAATGAGATGATCCTGGCATTCACTTTTTGGTTAATATTTTAAGATTTTTTTTTAAGCTTAGACAAGTGTATTTTAAACGTTAAAGCACAAAACACACTACATTACTAAGTCTTAGATAACCATTTTATTTGCTGGTGAATCGTTTAGATACACAATTTCTAAACAGTTATATTAAAATTTTTTGCAATCCTTTTATTTTATAATATTATAGAAATAAAAGTACTTCCTTACTTTTTTATATTTCAATGATATATTTATTACTGATTATTTGTACTGTACAATGTAAGGCTTCAGCTGACATACAAAAGCACCCATTGTACAATTCTGGCATTACATTGTATGTACCTTTAGACACTGATCACCAACATCTGTAATGCTTCACTTTCACTTAATCACCCAAGCATCCCCCAATCAAATCTTTATAGCAAAACCATTCTCATAAGAACTTGAAGGTAAAAGATAAACAATATTTTCACACTGTAACCTCATATGACTGGCTATGATCTTCTGTGGCAATAATACCCAGCATGAAAGATTCACAATTACAGTTTCTAAAAAGTGTATTACCATACAGTTTCTTTTGGGTGTTTTGAAAGTTATTGTTAAATATTATGAAAGAAATGCCCGATGATGATTGCCTGTGTGAACAAAACTCATGGAACTGTTCTAACATTACCCATTTCAAATACACTAAAAAGTTGTTAAATATGATCCAATTACACCGTAGTGTATTTTTATCCCATGTATTGAGTGAATTAACATTAACTTATAAAAGGCTGCAAAAATCGTAATATACTTTGCCTGAATTTTTCACCAACTGGTTTTATCTTTAGGATTAGTGTAATTAACAATTTTACTTTTCTCGAGTAATCTACAAATATGCTGTACTGTACTGTACATATAAATAAAAAAGTTATTTGCCAACAAGCTAGTATAGTACTGTATTATAAAGTAGAATTATAATTTAATTTTAAGAATATTATTTGCCTACAAGCTAGCACAGTACAGTACAGTACAGTATCATAAAGTAGAAATATATTTTGTAAGAATTTTTCCAAAGTTCATAACAACTGTATTAGAAGGTTAAGTTTTGTGTTTGGTGTTCATTTAATGTTGTATTTATAGTATGCCCTCAAACTCAAATTAACATATCCCACAATGTCACTCAAATAGTGTCGCGCATACCCATCAGCTCGCCCACACCTCGCATGCACAAGTTTCAAGATAAACAAGATAGTCACCACCACCACCACCCAAGATTCAATAATGATTACTTTTGTTCATCATTACTGAACAATCCAACACTACATCTTTGGATAGTCTCCATAAAACAAATAGTAGTAAATAAATTTTTTATATAAATGTAATTTAGAATGAAATTTCTGAATACCTTGCTATTTGATTTATGAAGTCACAAGTTTTCTGGTGTTTGGGTTAGATGCATGCCTAAATGACCCCAAAAGAAGAGCAAATTTGTCCTCTGTCAGTTGTTTTAGTCGGCAGAATAAGTGATAAATGAAGCTACAATTAACTGAAAAGCAACTTATCTCCACTACAGTAACATTATTGTCCATGTTAAAGATACTATTCTACAGTAACTTCACATATCATAAGTGTTATTAAATGTTATTCATTTAGATTGTTAGTTGTGTTAACTGCATATTTCTTGAAGCTATGCAAGCATTATGCTTCCCTCCATGCCAGCTAACAGCTGATAAAATTTTATTATTAGTTTCTATATAACATAATAAATATTGTACACAAAATGTCTTAAAAAGTATTCTTATTTGACAATTTGGTGAAATATTAAGACTCAGTGATAATTTCAACTAAGAGAACAGCATTTGAAGAACAGAATAGATTTACTGAAGATCTGATAATAAATAACAAGGTCAATGTCTTTAGGTAATATTTAACAATGGTCATCCAACAAGAAATAAAATGTTCTTAATTAATGACCATTTACAAGAGTGAAGATCCTGAATACCTTTAATGTAATTTACAGTCATATGCACATACCTCAGGAGAGTCAAGAACAAGAGGACTGGTGGGTATTGTTGTCACAGGAGACGGTGGAAGTCTGGCATGTTCAGTGTTGACCTGTACCTCCTCCCTTACCTCCTCCAGGGTCTGGTAGTGGTGGTCAACAGAGTCTTTGCTTTCATTGTGGTCGTCATCAACCTTCATAACAGGTAATGTCATTGTTAAAATAATAATTTAAAATATTCATCTCCCTTCATGAAACAGACCAATACCGGTAAGTAGGTTACAGAGAATGATTATATGATACATGTTGAATTAACATGAAAAGAGAAACTGGAAATTTTTATTAACCTCTTATGCCTGTAAATCAAAGGGTGCAGCAACAATAAGCAACAACAAAGTCTTATTCTAGTATTTTCAAATTGTACGGGATTCTACTAACAGTCTGTTATTAATAATACTGTATATCAAATTATTCCTCTTACATTTGTGTTAGATTTTTATAATTAAGAGTTTCATCCACTCTTAATGTACAGATAATTCAAATTTGAGGAAGAGGCACTGTACTGTAGATGGGTGTAAAATAATTTAAGGGTATGGTTTAGTATCATCAAATAGGTAACTCTTTCAAACCTGTAATACTGTGTGGGAGAAAAAGAATATTCAGATATCACAGAAATACAAGCATAAGCGGTTAAAATAACTAATTACAAAAGTTATAATTTAGTTTAAACTAAAATTTGACAACTTTAGTATTTCTTTTATGCTTTGAATAATGCTATAGCTTTCTTCAACTGAATTAAAACAGAAAGCAAATTGAAAAAGAGAACAGTACAAACTAGAACATTGAACTCCAGCAATAAAGACAAAATATTAACTGGTGTTATTGTTTACCTTCTCATAAATATTTTCATACATTGGTTCTTCAGTGATATTTTCATAGATATTTTCAGCACAGGCAGATGAATCTTCATATGATCCTCCAACTTGTTCATAATCACAGATAACCTGCATAAAATGTGTAAGAAATAACAAACAAACAAACAAACACACAAACAAATCAAATAATAAAGCATGGACAAATTAATTTCACACAAAAAAAATAAATTCCCACAATAACAAAACAAAGACAACACCAAATTCATGAATAAAGTGTTAATAAACAAACCTCATTAATATCATCATCAGTGTAGGGTTTAGTTGCCTCAAGTGAATCATCTTCATGGGTTTGGTAAACAGGCAAGGGATCTATGGGAGCCATTTGGATGGGAGAACCTAAGAGAGGAGTCTCCTCAAGTTTGGAAGCAATTTCAAACACTTGGGCATTCACCTGTTTGGAATGAATTTGTAATGTGTAAATCTTTCAGGTGTAAATGATCAAATTAACTGTAAAAACAGGTGGGACTATTTTTTTTTTTTTACATTTTTGTGTCACTACAGTTTCATTTCAATCCATTTTTCAAAGGATTTAGATTTGTTTACATAAAACATTAATCACACAAGACAAGAAGCAATGAAAAATACCAAAAATCAAAAGCAGAGGCAGAAGCAAGAATCTGATAAATGGTGTGAAAGCATAGCAGATGATGACAATGATTAACCAAACAAATAATGAGTAATTAAGGAGAGGAATTAAAATTTGAATATGATTAATGGCAACATCTTACACCACTAGGCAAATAATTAGTGAATACCTGTTTATAAGACCTATCATAGCTATAATAAATTATGAAACACATATCCACTTACCTATGTGTTTTTGGCAAACCAAATATCTGTAGTTACTTAATAATTGTGAGTTAAACTGAATTATTTGTGATGGGACAGTATGTATCATTCTCACATTCATTCTGGAACAAGGGAGGCTATCAGTGTTCCTAGAACAAGAGAAGGATGCATAGAACACACACTGGATGGATGGGTGAATGCATGGAACACACACTGGATGGATGGGTGAATGCATGGAACACACACTGAATGGATAGATGGATGCATGGAACACATTGGATGGATGAGTGAACACATGGAACACACACCGGATGAATGGATGCATGGTACACACAATGGATGAATGTGTGGATGCATGGAACACACACTGGGTGGAACACACTGGATGGATGAGTGGAACACACACACACAGTATGTACTGGCTTGAACAAAGTGACATACAATAAAGAAAGAATGTACAGTTGATTGGTCAGAGGACAAATGTGTAGGGCTGACTATATTCTCTAAGACTCATCATATTAGCACTTGTTACAATATGTCTACCTGAATGTTGTGTAAAAAGTTGTACGTATTACTGTACGTGAAAGATGATAGAAACTACAAATAATGAATAATATCCAATAAATAAGGAAAGACATGATACTGCAGTAACACAAAACTCAGTTAATAATACCCAGAGGAGAATGTTAAGTTGTATAAAAACCATGTCAAAAATTATCCAGTTAATAATGAAATACTACAGAGCAAAGACAAACAGATGAATTGCAGTACACTCGAGTCATCTAAAAAACTTGGTTTAAGTGATGTGCTATTGTATACAGTATCATCATTCTCAACTAGCTAAAAAAATTACTATAAATAAATCAAAAATAAAATTAAATACTTTACAGTAAACTTATCATTTAGGTAAAAAAAGACAAAAAAGTTGAGTATCATTAAACAATCGAAGGAATGCAGCTTATTTACAAAGTTTAATATTTTTTAAAGCAATGAAACATGTAATACAGTAAACATCCCGAGTACCAGACACCTGAGTAATGACACGCATCTCAGAAAAAATTATTTAAATTTTCAAAAAAATATATTGGTATCTTGCAAGTCATTGCCCACATCACTATGATACAAAATAATGAAGGATTGGAAGTTATTCCCTTTTAATAATTGCTAAATAAATCTAAAATTTGACCCTGGCTTTTGAGAAATACAGTACTTGGTTTAATCCTGTATATAATTTGTAGTAAGACAACACCAACGAGTCTTGGCCGTGACCACCACCACAACTGATGCTATGAACAGTGTTACCGTCTCTGAAACTGAATTCCCTCCAGTTACCAACTCCTATGAGAAATAAGATGCAATAATATATACTATATACTGTACCAATAAATGTGAGGAATAAATAACAATAATACCAATAAATAAAAAATACTCTACTCTTATTTGGCTGCTGGACAACAAAATTTGTCAATCGCTTCACTACATGTGGGAGCAGCTCGAAACGTCTGAGATCAACTCTTAACACATGAAGAAAGTTTATTCCTTTTATGTTTTTGACATACAGTATTGATAAATTTTTTGGCATATTGTGTATGTAATATTGTGTGTGCATGTAACAGAGTAACAAAATATGAAGAAAATTACATAAACTTTATCTACCCAAAATTACGAGTTAAAAATAACCATAACAGCTTCGCCTGGAGTGGTCGGGGTAGAGCTAGGGAGATGTGGCTAAAGTGATGACTATCGTGTTATTATTACTAATACAAAAAGTATTGAAAACAAGAAATAAAAAAACCAAAAAACATAAGGAATATTATCAGAAATGTAAAGTAACGACCTACATGGCAAGTCAAATTATGGCTGAAACACTCATAACTCCTTTCCCAGCATTCATAAACCATACTACCTACCTTACTTATGCTATTAACGATTGTGCAACTTTAAACAACATTTTTAAACAATCTACAGTATAGTATATGAAAACTAAACCAATTAAGTAAACGCTAAATGACAGTTTAACACAACTGCCATTTGCATAGACTCTGGCTACTTGGTCAACTCAACACTCTTCAGTCGCCATAGCAATGCAGCCTACCTGGGATGCCGCCTCTGTCAAATCCCTAGCAATGCCCCCCACCCCACCCCCGCTCCTTCAGCTCAATCTCGTAATTTTCACGCAAAGAAATGTCTATTCTCTTTACATGTTTGTCCTTAGAATATAGGAATTATTTCTTTGAATTTTTTTTCATAATATATATGTAGGATTGTGTGTGCAAGAAACTGAGTAAAAAAAATAAATAAATAAATAAATAAAAGTTATGTGCATCTACCCGAAATTACGAGTTGAAAAATAACCATAGCACCCTCACAACTCGGTAAGGTTAGCCTACCACAAGTGTTTTGGGTAGCTATTCACTGTAAATGACCCAAGGAAATGAATGAAATTTAACCCCTCAAAATACTATGCGTTATATTGTTTGACCTCTTACTTTTGAATACAAATTTGATCATAAAACTTGAACTGTTTTCAATTATATACGGTTTACTGTAGCGCACAAGGCCATCCATGCCACATACATGTACAGAGTACAGGTACATTCTTGAGCCTTACCTACATCTATTAACAATTTAAATAACAAAACAACTGAATTTCCTGAAAGTATATCATAAGTAAAATTATTTTACTTCAACTAATTTATTATGAGTTTAAATAAGCCAATCTGTGTTAGTGCAATATGATGGCTGTTGTTTTGAACAGTTGTGCCTCCCTGCTGATATGGACGTCCAAAGAACGAATTCCATCTGATTAACAATATCACTGTGACTTAATTAGTCCGGTACTTAGGGTCTTTACTGTAGTTAACATACATCTATCAAAAGCAAAGAGACAAGTCCACACACAAGGCTTAAAATCATGCATTCCATAAGGATTTTATTGAAGGATAGTTTTAGGATATATTTACAGTATATCTCTAAAACATCATTGCAAATTTCATCAAAAGTTCATAGATCAAGACTTTCTACTAAATGGTTTTATACTGACTATGATGCAAATGCTCAAGTGATTTAGAGGTGCAAACGGCACAGTTTTTCAGAAAAATTAATCAACTACTGTACTGTACATACACAATGGGCCTCAAGCAGATCTTTTACTCAATGGTTAAAGTCTCATGGGACATTCGTATAATCAGTCCTTTTACACCTGATGGAAGACTGAATACTATCCATCTGCTACAACAAACAGCATCATTCCATATATTAACAGATGAAATCAAAATACAGAACTTCCACAGATCAGGAACAGTCACCCCATATAGATGCTTTAAGCTAGATCATGAAGTAGATGTGCCAAGTTTATTGTTGCTCTGATATCATTTATTAGGTATTATCGGTACATTTCAACACAGGTACCATGAACTTAAATTTAACCTTTAGGATACTTTTAATGAAATTACGGTTACTGAAACTATAAACATAGATGTAAGGGAATGAGTCATGTATTGCAAAACACACACCAGAGTTACTAGATTCTAAAGCACACAGCACTATTAATTGCAAATCTTATATGAAAAAAAATGGTCACACACAGAAGCTCTGATTATAAGTGTGACAAACCTCTGGACTTAGATACTGGAAAATAGAATACATAGGAGCAGACTCAACATCTCGAATCACTTGGCACTTCTCAACAGTTTCGTAGATGGTAGAGCGTTTAGCTGGATCCCGAGCATAAGCAGAATCTGGCTCATCACTCACCATGGACTTTCTTTGCATTACACATTTTTCTTCCACCCTAGAACCCTCAAGATCCACCACCATATAAGGGGTTGATGGAGTACGCCTCAGGATGTTCATCATAGAACGTGTTGGTCGCATCTTTACCTCCTTTACTTGTGGCTGATCTAAACGTTCCAGACTGACTGATCTGTCTCTGCTCTGAAGCATTTCTTCCTGATGACTTGGAGTGTGAAGATCTGCCAACTGTTCCAGTTGCTCAAAAGATGCAATTTTGTTCTTCAGAGTTGGATCTCCCTGAGGAATGGTCTTGCGCTCTCGTACCTTTTCCTCATCTCCATTTTCAATACTATTAAATGAGGCAAGCTTTTTGTGGAAATTAATGTCTCTTTCAGGTGTCTTCTTCCTTACTGGCTGTGACTCATAATCTTTTGTGGCAAATGTTGCTCGTTTCTCCTGGAACTTTGCATCTCTAGTTGGAGTTATACTATGCACTTTTGTGCTTTCTATATCAAGATTCTCAAATGATGCAACCTTACTTCGAAGGTTTGTATCACGAGTTGGGGTAACACCACGTATTTTGGGGGTCTCGCTTTCAAGATTTTCAAAAGATGCTACTTTGTTTCGTAATGAGTTTGATACTTCAAGAGATCGTCTGTAAGCTAGCTTCTGCTCCCTCTCATTTTGAATAGGTGTTGGATCACGTATTTCAAACATTGACCTTCTCTTGCCAACATCTACTTTAGGTGACTTTTCTCTCATGATAACTCTAGGTTCAGGACTTATTCTAAAGTCTTTCTCCCTCTCCTTTGAAAAGAAGTTGAGTTTCTCCTCCACTTTGTTGCTTTTACTAGGACTTGGTGAACGGCCATTCAAGCGAGGTTTTTCATTTTTCCTGTCTTCCTCCTTGGTATAGCTTGTATTGCTATTCAAACTGGTGATGCTTGAAGTTCTTTTCTTGGCACTGTTTTCTGCATATTGCTTGTAACCAGCTATAGCTTTGTCATATGTATATTCATCTGTATGAACACTTGTGGAGGTTGAATGAAACACTTCAGTTATCAGGCTCGATCCATGACCATTAATGTGGGTTTCTTCCTCTTTTGACACTCCAGTATCCAAAAGTGAATCATGTGCCTCTTTCTTGTCCCCCTACAAAAAGATAAAAAGAAAAATGATTACCATATAAGTTAATTCTACAAAATATCTAAGGTTATAATATTTAATGAAACTGCAAATGTTTATACCCTGTACAGTATCATTGATATTTTATATTTTCCTATGTAAGACATTCCCTGAATAATTTTGATCTTATATTGAAACCAAACTTGATATTTTTTTGTAACCAAACTCACCAGAGCTGAAGATGTGTCACTAATATTATCTTCAGCAAAAACACCATCACTGCCAGTGTCTGACCCTGTGCAGAAGCCAGCATCACTCTTGGCATCTTTGTTGTCCTGATCCAAGTCTTTAACATCATTCTCTTCGTGTGCGTCACTTAGAGAGCTTGTACTCTTGGCTGAGGACAACCCAAGGCCACTCAGGTCATTATTATCATCATCGTTGTGGACAACTAGGTTATATCTCCGCCCTCTCTTGCTCCTGTTGGTTATAGAAAGGGAATGTTTCGTAGAGAGGGGCTGTTAGAGCCAAGTAGCCTTATCTTTGATATGAAACATTGTTCTGTATTAATAAAACATGAACTAGACTGTAGATAAACTATATGTGGTAGCTTTCTTAAGGGAGGGATCCAAAAGTAAAGTTAAAGAGAGTGAAAATTCTTCAATATAATTTTAAAATGTGGTGAGACATTGTATAGAAAGTGAAACTTTTGGATTATGTTTTACAGAAAGGAATGAGAATGGAAGACAAGCAAATTCATATTCAAAATTCCTGAGGAATACAGTAACTGAGATTACATAATATGTGACTACAGTATGTGATATGAAGAGGAACTGATAAAGGCCAGTGTTCATGACAGTAGTGCTGACAGAGATGAGTGTTGCTGATGTGTTGTATCTGAAATGAATTCACAGGAGGAAACTTCTCCATAACAATAATTAAATACAGTACAGTACAGTAAATTATCTATCAACCAAAAATATACTTTATGAGAGAATCTATTTTGTGGAAGATTTGAGTAGTTTAAATTCCCGTTCTATGTTTGCCCATGCTTGACCCCTGCTATGTGGCGTCCCTTGTGTGCTACACTACAGTATTTAAATGTATTGTAATAGTACAGTGGCTGGCACATTTTGTGAGATGTGGCAACTCTGTGTTTGTTTACATTGTATTAAAACTCCCATGATGGCCCTAGGAACCTTGCAATAGTAGCCAGACTATGGATGCTGGATAAGCATTCCACAGAGTTGCCATATCTCACAAAATGCACCAGCCACTGTACCTAAGTGCAGGCAACTGTACATATAATGTACTTCCTGATGTACTGAACTCTCTCTCTCCACAAGCAAGTAACACATAAATAATACCATGTTATACATCAGCCTTAAATTTGGTTACTAATACTCACTTATCTCCCTGTATTTCACTGAAAGTTTTGCTCTTACGACGAGTGCGGATCAACTCCTCCTCCTGCTCATTCTTCTTGATCTCAATCACCCTTTCCAAAGCTTCCTCGTTGCGTTTCCGACGAGAACTCTTCCATTTATCTAGGTTCTGTAAGGTGGTATAAAAATTATTTCCACATCAATTTGTCAATATTACAACACCTGGAAACATTAAAAAAGTGTTTACTCAAATTCTGCACCAAAAAGGAGTAAATTACTTATGACTTTGTAGACTCAGTGATATTACTGTGGCCTGTTCACTCAAAGCTTGCAAATGAGGCCTAGGGTCAGTTTGTAGCAAGGCAGCGGATCAGCTGGCAGACGGACAAGTGAAAAGATGTAGTGTATTTAATCTATTGCATTTATATTATGATATTGTAAGAGATAATAACTACAGTACTGTATTCTATGTTGATCTCTTATATAATTTCCACACTTGGGGAAAAATTTGCATGATGAACAAATTCTGAGACGCAAATCCCGCCTCTCTTCATAATGTCACGCAGCGCAGTGGATGATGTTGATGAAAATTTGTTTTCTTTTTTGTGTTCTCTTCTAAGACATTTATGTTACCAGAGCATTTCACATGCTAATTTTTCCCCAAGTGTGGAAATTATATAAGAGATCAACATAGAATACAGTACTGTAGTTATTATCCTTTACAATATCATAATATAAATGCAATAGATTAAATACACTACATCTTTTCACTTGTTCGTCTGCCAGCCAATCCGCTGCCTTGCTACAAACTGACCCTAGGCCTCATTTGCAAGCTTTGAGTGAACAGGCTTTACAATACTGTACATTAAAATTATGAACTCATCAGCAATGTACTGTACTGTACTACCTTTGTACGCAATAATATTTAAGTAATGATATACAGGTACTGCACTGTAACAACTTTTATAAAAGAACTTGTTTAGTAATACAAGTACAATTCAAAATTTTAATGAAATTCTATGAAGAAACCACACTTCTATTATGTGATAAATATAAGAAACCTTAATGTACACTTGCCCACAGGTATAATGTTCCACCCCTCGGAGGCCTTTCCAAATATGTAACAATGTCTGAATCACTTTATGAATGAATCAGTAACTTGAGGAGAGCAGTTGCCAACAACTGAATTTTGGAAGCCTATAACTGTTATGTGTATGTAAGGAGTTTCTGTCCACCTCATACACTCAAGACTACAGTACTTAAAATAATGACACTAAAGTATGATATAGTAAATATAAAAATTTATAACCAAAAGATCTCTAGTAATGTAAGGCTCTCAAGTACAGTACTATTAAGTAACATTTGACACTCCAGTAACTCTGTGGTCAAGGAATAGCCTTCTCTCTATGTATGGAATTAGTCACTCCTGAGAAAAGTATACCAATTAAAAAAAAAAAATAATAAACCTTTTGTGTTATCAATACTGTATGTAATTTATATCCTTGGGGGCCTCGTAGACAGCCACTAGGAGAAGCATGTCACTACTACAAGCATTATTGTTCAGTGACAAACTGATGGACTAGATAATAAATTAGGCTACACCAGACTCCTACCTCACATGTCTTACCATCTGGAAAAGGCCATGATCAAAGTCGTCATAAGACTCATATAGTTGTAATGTGGCCACAACTTCAAACACTGTGAAAATTTCTGCCATTATTTTCAATCATCCCAAACACCGCAGCTGATATGGTTGTATCACTGACTTAAGCATTCTCATTACCCGGTACTCAGTCAACCAAGATGCACAGTATGAAGTAGCTACAGAACACAGTAAACCGATCTTTTTAGACATAAAACCTTCAAATGTGTGCACAACTGTACAAATAAGTCTGGTAATTTCACAAAGATTGATCAAATGAACAATAAACAAAATGAAGTATGTATTAGACACACAAGTAATGCACTAGTGAGGTTCCCAGTAGACACTGAGGAAGGTTCGTCTTCACTGCTAGTTCTACAAAGAAGCCTTATGAAGTCTCCTCCACCTCCCTCACACCTGCCTGGCCCTATCACCCCCCCCCCCACTCTTCACTTCATAACTTTTATAAAGTCCACATCCACTGCCTCAGTTAACAGAGAGCTACTAATGAATTCACCTAATTACGGTACATAAATAAAACAGTGATGTTCCAGCAGTTGCCAAAATTTGTCTTTACTACATATGTTTAATGAGCTACCTTGTAAGCAACCTTAATGTGTATGACAAATGAGCTGGCTTGTATGCAAGCTTAATATGTATGACAAATGAGCTGGCTTGTGTGCAAGCTTAATGCATATGACAAATGAGCTGGCTTGTATGCAAGCTTAATGTGTATGACAAAGTCGTGACTACAACTATGACAGGCAAGTATACCATCATATATAATGCATGCTTTTGTGATGGTGTAGATACTTTTGGTCAATATGAAACACACCAGTGTCTGCCATGAATTTTGTCACACTCAAAGATATCCTTCCCACATGTCAATAAAGTTTTAAACAGGAAATCCATGTCATGAATAAGTATGGGACAATTATGTTGCTTATATGAAGAAAAAAAACTTCAGTCATACTCACACAAAATTAAGTCAATTATCATTTAACTTTACATCTGCCTTACCTACAGATGAAATGCCTTTGGTGCTACAGCAAAAGATCTTTAATTCACAGAGGAAATGTGCATAAGAATAATTGAAACAAGAGTAGTGACCAATAAAAACATCGCAATACCATAATAAAAACAAGCCATGAAACATAGGCCTACAGGTGCAGCATTTGTGTGACAACAAACCAGTGAACACTGAAAAGCATAAAACACAAGAAATACAGCACTGCCCATGACAATAGTGAGGACAGTGCCGGCCACTTACCGACTGCCAGTCTGAGCCTTCATCATACGGGTTCTTGGAGGAGGAGGAGGAGGAGGAGGGCTGCTAGTGGAGGAATAGGACACTGTCAGTGGACTTCTCACTTACTCTTTACACCCACAGCCACACATTTCATGGAGGACTCACATACAAGGTACTGTGTCACACACTCTACACCTTCACACACAGACACACACAGGTACCCACCTCACACATCTTTTTCTTAACATTATAAGCACTATCTTGAAAAATTATTAATATACTGTACTGTACAACATATAATGTACAAACAGGTGCACATGTCACTAAATGTACATACAAGCTTCTGTACATATGTACTTAACACTACATCTTACTGAAGATAAGCACAGTACGGTATTTACTCCACAATGTCATGAACATCATAAACTATTTCATGTGCACCCATCATTGTTTTACACTTTCAGAATATCAGTAGAATTACAGCTGTATGGGTAATTAGTCTACCTAATTATCTGATGTAAACAGTGAAAAAAATACAAAAATATGCATTGAGCTAAATCCAAGTACTGTACTATACTGTACTGTACAGTATACTGTAAAATAATTTGATTTCTTTGAAAATTTCATTATAATATTATTTTTAATGCAGAGAATACAAATCTGGTGGGAGAGCAAGAGAAGGATTAGTGGATTTACTTAACCCATTCTATATATGATGCCACTTTTAATATTTTATTTGGCTAATGCCAGATGATCGCATTCAGCAGAGATAGACCCCCTGTACCCAAGGGGTTAAGAAGTGGCAAGTAGCCTGTGGCATCTACCACTTTGGTGAAAGACAAATATCATTACTGAACTTTGTCCAATTTTAGCAGCAATGAACCATCATTGACTGGTATATACAGTACTCGAGTTTGACAGTATTATACTCAGTCACTTGTTACAGCTAAAATCATATAGTTCAGTGATTGTTTTTGTCAATTTGCTGTAGTGTCAAAGCACAGATGCTAGTGCCTACTCAACATTTCTTTAGTAAACTCAAAGATAGTGTTTCTTGTTTGCTGACTGGATTTGCATTAAAAGCATTAAAACAAGTTTACCAGAGAAAATCCCAAAGAAAACACACCACGATTAAGGGTGAACCTCTAAATGATACCTTTATCAATACACTGTACTGGGATGAATGAAAAGGAATCTTGACACCAACTTCACCACTATGAATAATCCTCTCTCAAAGGAAGAACAGATGTCTTAGTAGGATATATGGTGTTATAAATAAAGTATAACCAAGACTATGTGTGTGGTAAAAATCCACTACTGTTTGTGCTACAGTACTGTACTGTACTGTACTTTTATATTAATATTTTAATCTCTTTATCTCTTGAATACCTTCTTTGAAGCCACTCCTTAAATGCAATACAGGTATCAGCTTCTGCATATTTCTGATCATGTAAGTTTGTGTATAGTGTATCATTCTCCTACAAAAGAAAACATAATTTATACCAGCTATAACTCACTCAATTATACCCTTACTGAAAGTAACCTGAATTCTTACCCCAGGATTATCTCACTGGTTGATGCCACATGTACAGTACATTATTACTGAGTAGGGGCACTAGACACATACTCAAACAGATAAGTGTACACAATACTGTATATGAATTTGAAAGTACTGTACCTGTATACATCTACTGTACACATAACTGCATACAGTACACAAACTGTATAAAATGAATACACTCACAGGCACTCACTCTGCATTTAGACATCTCAATATACATGTGCACGTATCAGTTCACATATACACACAGACAACTCTAAAAAAAAGATATGCACACACAGAAAAAATATAGGCAATGGAAGTTTAGTATAGTGGATTGACTTGACACTAAAAAAACCCTTCATGAAACTATACAGTACAATAATCAGTCCACTAAACTTAACTTCCTTTACCTAAAACTCACAAGATGGTAGAGTAAGGGGATGGAGACAACATCACTCAGCCTACACACTACAGTACCTTAGCTCAAAAGGGGTACCATTAAAACTCACTCACTAATCAATTCAAGGGTTCCAAGATCTGGCATAATTAAAAACCTAAATTAGATGGACTACTGTATTGAAGACTATTCTGAATCTATTAATTATTTCTAGACTGGTTAAAAAAAATGACTAGGGGTAGCACAATGATTAAAAAAGAAAACAAATACAGTGTAAGTGATTTTTTTAGTAGTGGTATTTGTTATCTTGTTAGTGTGGTTAGTTTTATAAAATAATTAAGGTAAGATTATATTCAACCATTCAGAACATTCAGATCCATACAAAGAGAAGAGAAGAGAAGAGGAGAGACAATCAGTTTATTAATTACTGCATGTGTGAATATTTGTGAAGACTGTGTGTTCTGTCAGTTTCATTCTTTATCTATATAGTAGTACCTCTTCAATCATTTACACACCAAATAACTATAAATATTTCCCATCCATGAACTATTTAAGGTGAATTGAAAATCTAATAGTTACAATGACCATAAATCTGGCTAAGAGTCCATCCCATTTGCACAATTTTTGCTTACTGTACGTTACCTCATTAACAAAATATCCAAACTTGAAAGATGAAACTGACTGTTGTATTGTAGTTTGGGTTGTGATGAAAGAGTTGTAAAATTCACATTTACAATTGTGTTTTACTCTTACGAACATTCCAGACCATCCAATAGTACTGGATTCTTCTTATTGCAAACAGTTCATTGACCATAAATTTCTCAAGTTCAATTTTGACAAGTACAGCAAAAAGTAGCCTAATAGGGAAGGTGATCTTCCATAACAAGAAATATATGATAGTTAAAAGTCTAAGTAGGTAAAACAATAATGAATTGGTTACAGAGAAATGTTAAGAGAGACGACAAAATGAAAAGTGGATAAAAGTTTGAATTTAAAGGTTACATGTAACATCCACATTTGTACACTTCTGTCATCTCATTTAACAGAACAACACACGCCTCATTACTCATGTCCAATGTTTTATTTCACCAAAGAGGTTGCAACAAGAAGTTTTCTACCAAACTTGTATCACCGTACAGCTAATGATCCCCACAGACACCAGCCCTACCTAACAAAATTTAATTCCACATACTCTTCCTCTTCCTTCCATGATAGCTTTATTATGTTATAAATAAAATAGTACTTTTGAATTTATTATTATCTTGGTAAACGGAAAACTGAATCTGCCACTCAAAAACTTCAGTACTGTGGGATGTGTCGACGGTTAATCAATCCCAACAAAGAGAACAAATCATTTATATACTTGTACTTTAATCAACAATTATGAGTTCAACTGCTTCAATCTTTAAATACAATACTTTTTGTTATTAATGACCTGCATAAAATCAAGTATGGGTTTGTAATAATACACTATCTACATTTAACATTTAATTCTTTTCTCCTTATTAATGCCATCTTCTCAATCTTACCCACATCAAGTTCGAGTATATAAAACTGATCACTCTTGATATGTTTCACAGAGTTTTCCTATTACTCAATGATAACATGGCTCATAACTGATATTAGAAACACTATCAAAATCTACAGATCTGAATAACTTTACACACACACACACATACACACCACTGCAATGCATGTTATTCATGAACAATCAAAACATGGCCTTTTTAATACACTACTGTATATTATTTAGTTTTAAGGCACTTTCTGCAGATATGCTTAGCATACTATGTAATTGCCAAACCCGAGAGGAACACCAGATCAACATTATTCACAACAAATTCTGCCAAGGTTTACACGAAATACTCAAGGTTAACGTCAGATTCACTGCATGCCACATTAAGAACACGCAGACTCACACACGTAGAACACATCAGGACAAAGTGTGAAGTCCCACACTTGTTGTCCTCTTACCTTGTGTACTGGGGTAGGTGCAAACAGAAGAGGTTCAAAATAATGACCCAAAGACACCACCATAATTATGTATTGTATTGCATGCATTTGTCCACGCCTACATCAGGCACACCCATTGTCACACTACACCCATACCAACACCCACATCGGTTTATATGTGTTAACTTGAGTGTTATGGTTCCTCTAAGTTGGCCCTACACTCTAAGAAGCATACGAGTACATCCCATTCACCTATATGGCCCTGAGTTGGAGCAGCAAAGAACTTAAGGCAAAGACAGGAATAGCTTCATAGTAGGATCCATCAATATACTGTACTCATTTAAATTTAAAATTATTAGAATTGCAGTAATAGATGATGCGTATTATTCCAATTTACTTTAAATTTTAAGTATTATGTCACCAACATACTGTATGGCAATCTAATTAATTTTAAAATTATGAAATGTATTGAACACTATTCTTCTGGTAAGGTTCTTATAGCACAAACTCAGACCAGTGTTAGTCAAGATATTACAAACATTAGTTTTACAGGTGAGTGAGGTCACCCATCCTGGCCAACCACACTCAGGCTAGGTCAAACCTGGGTCAAGGTCAACCAGAATGGGTCATCCTAACAGTCTGGCTGGTTCATACTCACAGCCACCTTAGGTTATGCTCACAGCAAAGCTGGATCATACACTTATCTAAGTGGGGTCACACCTAAGCCCAGGTTGGATGGCTGGGACACACCCACACCCTAATCAGAATAGATCCAAACCAGGCTGGGTTACACACAAAGAGAAGCCGAGTCATGCTTACATCCAGGCTAGGCTGTACCCAACTACAGTTTAGGTCACATCATATTCCAATATTATTCTACACTCAGCTTAAAGTCTTGTGGCCTGTATTGTACAGTACTTTCAAAATTAACAACAAATCATTGTGATTAAGACTGTACTGTGACACTCTCCATAAGTGTTATTTTATATTACAGTATTAAATTTCTGCAAATATATATTGTACCAGTAAATGACCAACCATGACAGATACATTTGTTCCATACAGGCCACTAGAGATGTTGTTGGATATATAGTTCTGTATTATGTTTCTGGTTATGAGGAAGTTAAGATTAATATTAGTCATAAAAATCAGGAGTTTCAGGTTGACAATGAGTGTTTTCAGGAGGCAAGCTTGTATGTGTACAGTTAAGACCCATAACCACACCTCCTAGAGAACTCCCACATGGCAAGGAGAAACACTTCACCAATATGTCTAAAGGATATAGTTCTCTCGGAGGTATCATCAGAATCACAACATTGTACCTTTAATTAAATTAACTTTTCTTAGATACACTTGAAAAACTATTATTATGTTTAGAAAATATATTCCACAGAATACCTTGAGAGCTTTCTACCATAAGACATGTCATGAATGCCCCTACAGAAACCACCAAAGGAAAAAACCCGTGTGGGAGTCCCAATGGCACCCCCTGGAGGAGCCCCTGATTTGTGAAGAGTGATGACCACATGCTGATACCCACCTCTTGCCAGTCTGCCTCCTCAGCGATCAGGTGTTGTCGCATTGCTTTCACTGCCTCTGCCTTCTTGATCTGCTCAGTTGCTGACTTGTATAACACAGCTGGCCCTGTCTGAAGATCACCACACAAAAAATAGTTTAATAACAAGGCTATTAAAAAATACATATCAATTTCATCAACTGCATACTATTCTAATGATACTAAATTACTAACACACTAGTACAACAAATCACAAATGGCTGATAAAACATGCTTGGTGCAGAAAAAAAAGTGACATGCATTTACTACTCTTCAAGATAAAAGAATTAATAATAATATAGTGAAAAAAGTGATAAGTGGGTCCATAGGCATGACTGCCAGTTAGGGGTAGTGTGGATACAGCACACTGTATACTAAGTCTTCAGTACACAAGCAGGCAGCATGGCCGATACAGTACTGCACTGAACCATCTGCACTTTACCAATTTGTATACTTAAGTACCAGGTACACATTTACAGCTGGAAGAACTGTGAGTGCCCAGGGATTGAACCACCAACCCATGAAATGGGAGGTGAGCTCTGTATCCACTCGACCTCTACAGTTCTAATAATACAGTAACTTACAGTACATCCATTTCTTTTACTCTGCCTTGCTCTTGGGACCTACTGTATGCTATGATGACAACCACATGAGGCCAATGCACTACAGAGGGAACAATGTGAGGGATATTTGCCTGTGAATTCTAGACAATAATTTGGGTAAAATTTATTCTAACATTACAAATAAAACTTAATTAAAGCTAACTGGAGAGGACAAGCTGAATTACCACAGTTTTCCTGACAGTTACCTTTGACTGACGATAAAGAAGAAGAGAATGGTTTGGGGGAAGCTTGACAGAGATAGAGAAAAAACAGTTAATGATACTATGGCATTAACAAAGAAAAAATAGTTCATGTGAGAAATATATAACAACAGCTATACCTGTAAATGTAAGCTCATTTAAATTATGAGTATGACATGTCTAGGTTAAAGATATAGTGATACTGTACACATTATAATCAAAGTATACATGCAGACAGAGGCAAAATTCACCTTCACAAACTGCATAGCTGCCTCGTTGATCTTCGGGGTCGTACGGGTGATCCTTGAGGGGATGTATTCATGGGCCTTCGAGTCCAAATTTGCCTGTACAGATAGAAAAGTATTTCTAAATAATTAATGAATTATAATCATCATGAAAACTGTATGAATTATTATCTGACAATAACTAACCAATCTTGACTCAAATATAATCGAGAATACTGCATAATGAACACTGTAAAATATATAATACAGTACAGAGAATGCAATAAAGGTAATCTTTTAGTTTTATTTACTGTACAATTTGTAAGAATCATGTTTATAACCCTTCAAAAAGATCCAGGTCTTACATTCTTGTCGTGCAGGGAGTCGAGTGACATAGCGCGTGTGGGGGTTGGGTGTGGAGGATTCTGCCCCCCATATCGCACATTCCCCGGCATCTGTAAGACCAACCACACTGTAATTTACAGCTATTGATTTACTGTTTATTTGTGTCATTACTATATGATCTTTAGGTAATATTTGAGCTGAAGAAAAGTTTATTACAGTCATATAGCTGCAGTAAAAGAAGACAGCAGATGCAAAACTCAGCATGAAAATTATATTCTTAATAACGATATACGTACAGTATTTCATACAGTAATCAAATCAGGAAATATAATGTTTCTGGTGGCTGTCATGAGAGGTTACCACCACAAAATTGTTGCATTTGTACCATTTCTTTAAACCATTAAGTAATGAACCTGATACAGTAATTCTTAACAAGCAAACTATACAGTACTTTATAATGAATGATATACAGTACAGTACTGTACAACCTTTTGATGCTGTGGCAGTACAGTAATGTAAAGTTACCCTATACAGTACAGTACAGTAACATACATACTGTCAATCTTTTTGAAAGTGTTTCTGTAGATTACAGTACAAGCTGCTGGGTGGGATATACAGCACTGTATACTGTAGGATATATAATTTTTCATTTGTCTATATACATGGCAAATCTCATTGCTGAAGAGACAGAACCATTTTCAGTCTATAAACATTTATCTACAGATATACATAATTACATAATTATATGAAATATGAAAATATATATGTTAACATTTTTGAGTTGTACAAAGGTACTGTACAGTACTTCTAAATTATACACCATAAACTCAAGGGTGACAATACCATTTCAACAATTGTAGATCAGTCGAAGTCAACAATCACAATATTGAGCCACACATTGGCATATAAAACTGTTTTCTTTCACCTAACCTGACTATCATTATTAAATTCCATACCCAACATCATTTAGATCAAGCTCTCGAATGCCCTCCTCCTCCCCCCCTACAGGTATTTCTTGGAGACAGAAGACTCACCTTGGTGTGTGTTGAGGTAACTACCAGAATCTCCTATGGGCGCGGCTGGGGGCCATCACGTGATCACCACCACCCTCCTACTGCAAGTCTACTAGTGAAGGTGGCAGACAAGTTTGGGAGCTTCTTCGAGGTTGTTCACAGCTGCTGGAAAATAATGAAATTTGTATTAGTTACCTTCTCAACATTCAATAGTTCAACACAACTGTTTTTCTTGACAGTTGAAATTAAAATGTTGAATTGCTTTAGAACTTTAATTATAATAGCTAACGTTTAATCACCAGTACTTTTAAACGTTAACAGTGAGTATAATTATCAAAAAGAATACCCTTTTAAATACAAAATTAGTTAGACTTGTACAATACATAATTACAAACATAATCTGGATAAGCATGTTCAGCAGTACCAAGTGAGATTTAATCTACAATGCACACTGTTGCACTTTGTCAACAAAATCCATCACATCCACTTTGCATCATGAAAATATTTTCTCATAACTTTTAATTGTTGATGGACTATGTATGTATATTATGTATGTTGTATGTATACTATGAATGTACTCCATTTATATACATTACTTATCTAGTCAGTAGCGTGTGGCAATGCCCTTTATCATGTCCCACACACTTAGATAATGTGCCTGGCGACATCTGGAAGCTGGTTATGTATCACTTGCCACATGTCGCCTGAGAGGTCAGAGATAGGTCAGTTGACCCATGGAGAGTGTAGGGACTGCCGGCGTTTGGATCACACACCCCTGTACATTCCAGCAAATAGAATCTACAAAACTCTACAGGTGTTTGTGTTCACTCCTGTAGTTAGAACTGAGTACCCAGAACATGTACAGACTACTGTAATTATTTAATTACTAACCTTGTTACACACTTATACACACTGAAACACAGTAATAACATAATAACGTCAAAGAGGCCACACACACACACACACTCACACAATCAATATATATATATATATATATATATATATATATTTAAGCCTCTCTCTGTCCATGTAATTCAGTTGCCTCTGAAGATGTCTTAAATAAAGACGAAAGCTAAGGTACTCCGTTGTTTCCATTTTCCCGTGTGATTTTATCATATATATATATATATATATATATATATATATATATATATATATATATATATATATATATATATATATATATATATATATATATATATATATATATATATATATATATATATATATATGCTGATAACCACAAGGACTCCACCTGAGACGGTATATTAGTCTCAATGTTTTATTATACTACAGTATTTTATTCATAAATTAAACCTGTACCATAATAAAAGTTTTGCTCTACTACATTACAACTTCGAAAACAAATGCACAAAAACACGACCTGCAGAGAGGCTCTGGACCAGAGCAACATTTGTGAAGTATCCCACAACACAACTGGGACTCCTAGGAATCTTTAAAGGTTTGAGCATTAAAGTTTTTCCTAAAACTTTGTGATACAGATCTCATGACAGACACACTCAAGCATCAACATACGGACAACAGCTAAAACGGAGTCTAAATTCCAGTGAGATTACCAAAACTTATTACGTTATCTCATTTGTTTTGTAGTTACTGTATAGGGAAAAAAATCAACGTACAAATGTTAAGAGAACCAGCATGGGGGAGGGGGGTATATGTCTGAGGGGAGGCTGAGGCAACACAACTACAGTAGGTAAGGCTTCACCGTCACTCCATTATGTTTCTTGGTTATTTCTTTTGGGTGTGTTGTGTCACAAGGAGGAGGAAAATAAGAAACAATCTCTTGTGTTTCTTTATTATGTTGTGTGTGTGTGTGTGTGTGCTAAAAACTCATATTACAGTTTCTCCAATCCCTCCCTGTCCCCATCCCCACAAGACGTTCACGACTTTTTTTTCAATTGGGTACCCCACCCCCCTACATCCTTGTGTAAGGTGAAGCGCAGAAGCGTTTACAGCGCCCAACAGGGAAGCATGCTAACTTCATGCTTGCCTTATGTCTCATGAGTTAAGGGCGTAGAAGCCTGAAGAGTCAAGGGCGTAGAAGCCTGAAGAGTCAATGGTTTATGTCTAAGCAAGTTATTGGAAGCTCGAACAACTTGTCCCTGAATACGAATTCGCAACTTTCGATTTACAGCAGGTACCTACTTTACTGCTAGGTGAACAGGGACCAAGGGGACTAGGAAAAGTGTCCAAAGAACTTCCGCCGGCCCGGGATTGTATCCTGCCTCGGGGTACATCATGACACCTACGACTGTATCTTGCCTCGGGGTACATAATGACACCCACGATTGTATCCTGCCTTGGGATGCAGCATGACACCCGACTGTATCCTGCCTCGGGGTACATCATGACACCCACGACTGTATCCTGCATTGGGGTGCAGCATGACACCCACGACTGTATCCTGCCTTGGGGTGCATCATGACACCCACGACTGTATCCTGCCTCGGGGTGCATCATGACACCCACGACTGTATCCTGCCTCGGGGTACAGTGTTTGTATCCTGTACCTATCACCCCCCCCCCGTACCCACCACCACCATCACAACTTCTACCATTAACACCAACAGTGCTACTACCACCAGTATTACCAGCACTAGCACCGTCACCACCACAGGTTCTGGCGGACGTCCTTGAGCCTCAACCCACCATCACCTGACCCACCTGTCGAGAGAGAGAGAAAGAGTATATAGGTTATTCGGTAAAGATAACGTATTTGAAACACATCAAATGACAAATTCAAAATTAAATCTGCTCTATTGGCCGAAAATGTAAAGAAACATTAAAACAAATCTGCTTTTTCGTTTACAAACATGTTTTGAGATCGGTGGGAATTATTTCGAACAAATAAAGTAACTATAATAAATGTATTTTCCTATGATACGTGACTTCATGTACACTATATGTGAAACACCATCCACTTAAGAGTTTCTACTACTATTGCATTCTCTCTTCCGCCTCTCCCGTGTGTAACTGTACCCTTACCTTTCACCACCTCCTTCCTCCAAATCCACCACCCCCCTCCTCCATATCCTCCCCTCCCTTCACCATCCTCATATCCTAACAACCCCCCCCCCTCACCCTCCATGGTGACGTTGGTCACTCAGTGGTTGACGTCTCCGATGGTAACAGAATATAGGTCACCCGTAAAGCTCAAACAGAATATGGAATTTCATCCTCCCCCATAGCCAAACCCAGCAGCAGACGCAGCAGCTGTTGCAACAGGTGAACAGCAGCAGTAGCAGCAGCAAAAATTCGCACCGGAAATGCAATGTAGTTGATAACAGCAAAAGCATATACTCTGTACTGTACAATAAGAGAATATCCTTATATCAACAATCTTTGAAGCAGCAGAGGCGGCAGCAGCAACAAAGCAACAGAAGGTTGGAGGAAGAGCAACATCAACAAAAGGCAACGGAGACGAAGGTTGCAACGAGAGCGCAGACAATATCGCCAGCAGAGATCGGCCTTTCAAGCTCTCGTGAGAACCAAGACCATGAACCTTCCTCTTTCAGCGCTCTCTTGTTCCAGATGATTTCCCGACCTACCTGTACAGTATGTGTTCAATGCTGGTATTTCTTTCCTTCCTCTTGTCCTTCCCTCTCTCTCTCTCTTTCCCTTTATTATCAACTTCCCCGTTACTCCATTCCTCGGGGTCTCATCTTCAGAAGAAGGGAGGGAGGGGTGTCAACTATCGCACATAACCATCACAACACAACTTATGGTATATTCCACGGCTCTCTGAGGTACATTTACTGAGAATATTTAATATTTTATAAAACTTGAATTTACTTGTATAACAAATAATATTTTCCTATAAACCTATTTTATGTACTATGAAAGGAGTCTCCAACCTTGAGTGTGTGGAAAGAGAGAGAGAGAGAACACACACCCTGGCATGTGCTCTCGGCCCTCACCTGGCCCATCCCCTCCAGTCACCTGTAATTACCTGTAAGTCCCCCGAGCAACACCTCAGGTCTCCACTTACTCAACAAATCTCTCCGTTTTTTACGACCTGTTCAAGATCGTCGACACGGCCTCTAACTCTCCATTCAATGTCATTTTCCTTCACCAACATAACTAAAAAATCAACTTTCAACATTTCACAGCGAAGAATAAGCATTTAGTGAGCATCATAACTCAGAGTATGCCGACGTGCGGGAGGATCATGCTGTAAATATGATGTTTAACGAGGCAATTCATATTTCAAGGTGTAATTATAACGTAGTGGACCTCACGCTTGGGATAGACTGCAGCGTTAACGAGGGAGAGGGGAGGTGAGGTACTTTCCAGGGGCTGCCGCGGGGAGGTCACTCTTAAATTAACTTCGCCCACTAATTACATTAAAGATGCTAAGTCGTGTATCTTAAAGTCCTCCTCCTGGGTGTTGTCTCCTCACCCCACACTTCCTCACCCCTCATCCTGATATTTACAAATCCTAACGTTATTATTCTGCTCAAGTAACAGTCGGTGTCAGGATTTTAACGACTCTTAATTAATACTGTTTTTCATTTTATTTGTGTAGTCTTCATCATAATTAACGTCGTTATTACACAAATTAATAACAATTAACGGCAATGGAATGCATGTGAGGGAAATGTTTGCATGAATTTAGTTTTCAAATTTTTCTTTCTCCCATTCTTATTCTCCTCATCTCTCTCCGCCTCGTGTCTCCCCCCCCCCCTCCCGCTCTGGGGTCTACATACCATGACCCTTCTCATCGTTCCCTCCAATCCAGCACAGCCTTGCGTTTTTTCCTCAAGGACGAACACCACCATCCTCACTACCACTTACCTCCCCATCTACTAGATAACATTGGGCCTCACGTCCACCACACACGTTACCTACACCAACTACAACATTACGGTAACTTCCACTCATACCACACGTGTTATCCTCGGTGAATGTTTGTTTACTGTATGTCTGATGTGTTGACCTGGCTGGGAGTGCTCTCTGCTCGGTCCAGCCACACGCCAACCTGGACCTCCCTCCCACACGTCTTCCTGCGCCCTCCCTCTCGCCATTCTCGGCCCATAATTAAACAAATATTAGGCATGGCAACTCTTCTCTCATAGTAAACTCATCTACGTTATTAAAACACTGCTCTTAAGTGTTCCACCTTAACCGGGGGGCGTCTTTTTGCATGCCATGGCTGGGAATCTCTCTCCTGTGCTGCTTGTTGGCTAGGCTAGGCTAGGTTTGGCTGGGGTGGGCTGGGCTTGCTGACTGCAGGGTTGGTTGGCTGACAGACATTGGCGACCTCTCCTCACGTCTGGCCTCCTGACCTTTGTTGGAAGTGACCTCGCCAGTTTAGTGGGGTCGTGGTGCAGGCCGACACACAGTCATTACGCCTTATACAGTAGTGCTCCGCCCCCTTGCACACGTTCTATCACATCTTAACCACAAATTCCTTTTCATAAAGCAAGTATCTGGCTAGTGAAACAAAGCATAAACGTGTAATACTCTACCACATTTTTTATATAAATATTTAAGCAGCAGCACCCGAACATACCAGGCGGATATGACAGATGCACATTTCTACCACAGTCCACTACCATTAACACTCGCCATCACCGACGCTCTCTATGTTTACCTTCGATCTAGAGGGACCCTTCTACCTAGTTACTCTGTGAGAATCCTGTTCTGTGTACCAGCACAATACTTGTCCTCACCTGTTTTCCTTGATGTTTACCAACAATGTGGTCCTGGTCCCCCCCCACTTCCTCGACGCACCGTTAGACAAGCTCCAGGTAAAGTTCAGGTAAGTACTCGGCCACCACCACCCCCTGCAACACTCTTCATTAATACCCCGCCGTTTCATCACTCCTCTCTCTGTATATCTGTTAAAAGTTCTTCTGCAGGTATTTTGTATTATATTTTCATCTTATTTATTCTTGAAGTCCTTTCCCTAAGTGGCGTAGGGTGGGCGGAATTACCTGCCATTTTTATATACTGTACTGTATACTCTCAGCTGTATACAGGGTCATTAGTTGATGTCGTGACCTGGTTAAACCCGTCAACAGATTAGTTAAAAATAATGACTAAGAGTTAATGTTCTAAAGACGGAAATAACGGCTGTTTGTAAAGTAAAAAAAATAATAAGACAATTTATAACTATAATGTAAGAGTAAATATTTACATATACTTAAAAATCACATAAAAGGATCATGATGCCTTATCTAGGCTTTATAAGTATTACACAGGTGAGGTACACAGTTAGGTATCCTGTTGGAGGAGTACTCAGGTAGACAAAACAATGATCAACTTGAGTGAAGCGACAAAGATCATAATATTTGTTGAGTATTACGTCATAACACAGGAACCGTATACGCCCACTAAACAACTTATATCTCGTAAAGAAACAAATAAACAAGAGGGTAAAGATAGCATGACCTTATTTAGTGACAATAATGATGACATATTATATATCTTATGACGTCACTCTTATGTGTACCTGGAAAGGAACTTGATAAAGAATAATATAAAAAACAGCGGCTTTTGTTCTACTTTGCGCTTTAACTGAAGGGGTTTTGTCTAAGAGGCTCTTGTATGTGGGTCAGAAGCGTCGACACTCTCAGCAGACAACAAGAGGGGGTTAGAGGAAGCCTTTGAAACGAGACGCTATGGGAGAACGCTAAAAGTTATACTCATAGTGAAAACAAACAAAGAATCACCAAGACACTACAGCAACGAGAGAAATGCCGAAAATCCATAAAATAAGGAAAATGAGATAATGACTGACCATATGATTAATGAGGAGACGATGAGGACAATAATGAGGAAAGATAGGCTTGATGAGGACAGAAAATTAGAAGGATGGAAAGTAAGTTATGGTCATGTGAAAGAAAATATTGGAAGGTTTAATATAGAAGTGGCGGGCTGTGGTCGCCAACCTTAAGACGTGAAAACGCTTATAATAGCACTAATAACAAAACAGTAGTATGATGAAGTTACAAAAATCTGTTATGTGTTACAGAAATCAGTAATAAATTAACACACACACACCTAACACCATAATAAATCAACACAGAAAATTAATCGATAAGTTAGCATCTAGTTAACAACAAATCCCTAACACCTACTAACAAATTAGCTGTTAACACAATGCCTCTTAAATACAACATTGTTTTATATATTTTTTGTCCTCTTTTTAACTCCCCAGAACACACTCGCCTCCCCTTCCACCCCACTTCCCACTCTGGAGTACATGGGGTGGGGTGGGGTGGGCCAGCAAAAAGTGGGAGGCGATGGGGCGTGGCGTAACAGGGTGGTGGTGGGCAAGAGCTCAGGGTCGCCGAGGTGGGTGGCTGGGGGGTGAAGGAAGGGGGGGGGGAGATCAGCTGAGAGGAGAGGGAGTTTGGGTGGGGTGGAGGTGGGAGGGGGAGGGGGGCATCAGCTGGGATTTGTAAACACTTTCTCTCACGACAACAGCCTCAACACACACACACACACACACTCAGACTCAGACTCTTGCCTTCTTCCTTCTGTCCGGTTGTCTGTCTGTCTCTGTCTAGTTGTTTACCTTTTTTGTCTAATTGCCTGCCTCCTTATCGACTTCTATGTTTACCTCCCTGTCTACTCGTCTGCTTGTCTTCCTGTCTGCTGCGTCCCAGTCTGCCAGTCTACGGTGCCTTCTTGATTTTTTTTAAGAATGACTGGCTGTT